GATTTTTCCCATATATCTCGTTTCATGTTTCAAAATTTCAAAGTCTTCGTTTGTGATTCTTTTTTTAATTAAACTTCTTAAAAAAACTTCAGTCAGGCATTCATTAAGAAAGCAGTATATCAATTATTTACAGGTAACTATGCAAGTGGAACACGCGATATTTCTGTATCATAAATCACTTGTCACAATTCACCTAAAACAAAAGAGAGTTCTCATAATGCGCATGATAATAGTAAAGACGATTATTCTTACCTTACCATTCTCTTCTTCTTTTCGTTCTTGAAAGAAAAAAAGTTGACGTGCACGAATTGTTAAAATATACAGTGACCAGTATATACTTAATGTACGAAAATCCAAAGTCCTTGGAGTTAAATAAAGCATTTAACCATGTATACGTAGCCACGAACGATGATAGTATAGTGCGCATGCGCTTATGGCGCGACCGCTGAAAGAGAAAAATTATATGGTAAACGAGTAGCTTGGACCGAATCTTCATACTGGACATTCGAAAGGTTTTACGCGGGTCAGGGACATTTTCGGAGGCGTTGCCTTTCTTTTAAATTTATCCCTCACCACGTCGAACCGGTGTCTCTTATTAACGGCAAACGATGAACGTTTCCGCTAGGTTATTGAACCTACCGATTTTGCCTCGAAGAAACGGACATTCGAGGTGAACGATCGGCCGACCGATCTCCGCTAAAGATTTAATGCGTGAACACGTTAGAAGCTTTCGAGGTCGAATTATACAACAGAGATATCAGGTGACGCTAACTGGAACTACTTGATCTCTCGGGGAGGATGATTCGATACATTCCTAACTTTTTATTCCGATAGATGTCGTCAAGGGCACAGTAACATCGACGAACTTTACCGTTACGATTATTAAAACTATTTTGTAGCTGAATTCCGGGCAGAAGTCGTGGAACTTTGTAACACTGTCGAGTGATCGTTTACTGAAAAGATATATGTTAGAAGATAAAGAGAAGAATAAAAAGAATCAACTGCAAAGTAACAATTTAAATACCGAATGCTATTTGAAGTTTCAATTAGAGCTCATTATCGACCGAGCTGCCTGTTGGTACTAGACGCATTACTTAGAAGTCAAACATACTTCTGAAGGATAACGTGCATGAAACTTTCTTATATGCGCCATCTCGTTACGATGTTTATACCCGCTCACGGTGACATCTGTTATTCTTTATCCAAATCGCACCTTTCCCTTGCCCAACATCATCTTCAATACACTAACCACGGAATAACAACTTTGTGTTGTGTTATCGTCTACCTGGTAAATATTTCGCAAGATTTTCTCGTTATCATCGTACAGAACGTTATCTGCGCCGAGGAGTAAACTGTACCTCAAATCCTTTAATAGCCGCTCGACATTAAGTATAATACAGCGCAATTATAATTCACCGATGCGTCAGTTTTTTCAGCTGCGTACGTAGTCACTCGTGATTCTTTCGAAGATTCGGAATCTTCGTCTGTAAAAATAGAATGACTATTAGCGCCATCGCGCTCCTGACCGTCAAATCGTGGCTCTTCTTGTCCAAGAAGATGGTGGTGGTGGAATGAGCTCTGTGTAGCACAGAGGAAAGGAGAGATTGCTGTTTTAACCAGGGTATGTCGGCGGAGATAGGAGCAAGTTACGGAGAGAAAATCTCCAGGTTTCGTGCGGCGCAACAACTTTCTTTCTTCGGATAAGGCGCGTGGGTAGCCGAACCAGGGCTTCAAGGAAGCGTTTCCTTCGGTAGAAACAGCCATTGCGACGTGGGGACGCGAGGGAAGACAGGAACTTTCTCTACCTTCGTCGTTTTCGACATTCTGCCTTGGAAGTCGTGGCCCTCTTCTTTGCTCGTTTCGGTATCGTTATTCGATAAGAAAGTTTCGGTAAAATTTTACCGAATTGGAATATTTTTAAATTGTTTTGAGAATAAATATGGTTTTCATTCTTTTAGGAGAAACAATAAAAATAGTTTACAGTTGATGGGATTGATAGAGTAAGTGATCTTTAATAGTATCAAAGTTGCTTATAAAATATAGTTATATATAGTACATTTATCTTTGATATGTACGTTTAAGTAATTATTCTTTTAATTTTGTAAACTACAATAATAGTGTTCATTTAGATAAAGTTATTTTGCAGCACCTATATCTATATTAAAAGGTGTGTCGATAAAAATAGTTGGAATTTATATTTACCTGTTATACAATATCGAAAAAAGAAAGAGTTGAAACTGATAACTCATGTGTAAATAGTATAAGAAATGAAAAATATGGTAAGAACATTGGTATTGGTTTGATAACAATATAAAAGTTTCATATACTTACGCATCAAAACAACAAAGGAAGTGGTTAGAAAATAACAGGAAGATAGACAATAATCGCTTAAATAGCGGTTAGATTGACTCAATTAATATTTCTGTGGTATCATGTGGGCCAACAAAACATCTCTGATATATTCATAGCGGTAGAATGTTTTTGTTTTATTAGATTGATTTTATCGATGCTTGGTAAAGGCATATATTGCATGAAATACGATACACGTGGTGGAAAAAGAAAACAGACTCGTGGGGCAAAACAGTGTGCTAAAGGGCGCCACTTTACATAATTCTGTCACTTGTGGTAAATGAAGAATTTTAACCTATGTTAGTCAATAGAAATGTATATGTGCTTATATACTTCTACGAGTATTCTAATTACAGTGAATCGTCCAATTTTCTGAGCCAGTTATTTTTTCTCATTAACTGAATAATTTCGTTAACCAGTTGAACGCACATGTTCGTGAAACGCTATATTATTGCGTGATTCATCGTTAGCACGATCTTATCGACTTTCTTGAAAATTTCTCCTTTACACCTTAAAAAAACGAAAAAAAACGAAATCAACCGTGTCGAGCGTAACAACTAATTCACCCAGCGTAAATAACATTTTAAATTTGTTTCTTTTTCTCTTAGGAAAAATAGTAATTAAATTTTATGAGATTGAATGCAGCTTACTCCTTGAATGCATGTTCGAAAATATTTAAAGATGATTTTAATGAATGACAAACTAAAATTTATTTTTATAAATTACATTATAAAGTCAAAAAATCCTTTTAATTTGCTGTGTTAGCAAAATTTTAAATATTTACATATTTAAGATAATTGTTCATTAGTTGACTGTGCGGTTTTGGCGGGTGTCCTACTTTTGTAAATTTCAATAAGTCCTTGCAACCATCGACTGAAGAATCTCTCTTTGCTTCGCTTCGCGTCGTGAAGCAGAAAGAGAAGAAATTTATAGAAGAACCAAAACTTAAAATTTTTATTGACAATCAATAAAAAAAAATGTTTTCACTGTAGGTTCGCTAGAGTCGAGTACATTAAATATTCCGGAGGTAAGTTAGGCCATTGTCGATTGAGAAATCAAACGGAAGACACGAACGTAACTCGTCGTTTGTTTGTGAATTGCGAAATATAGCAATTACAGCGTTACATCAATTTTTCATTTGCTATATTATTGATCGTTCGATGCGTCAAGTTTTTTCCTTATCTATTTGCGGGTTAGAAATATATACAAATAGATATATTGTATGAGAATGCCTATATCATATTACTAGAAAAATGTAACAAAATATTGAAATGTTATTGAAGAATATTATTATCATGAGTTATTATCAACGTCACTTTTCTAGGTTTGCATCCAACAGAATACAGTGATCGAAATATTTAAGGTCGTTGTCACAAAAGTTCATATTTCATCATTAATTCTATTCCATGTTGAACTTTTGCTATTATTAATCAACATATCGATTCATAGAAAGTATTATCTCATAATTCATTAGTATTATCTCAAGAACTCAGTTCTCCAGAAAGTGAATATTTATTTTTAGGTTATATACTAAATTAAAAATAAAAAATTCTAAAATTCATGGGTAATTCATAACATCATGTTTAGAAATGTTACATTGGATCGATAAAAATTTACGTGTATCGAAATCGAACGCATAACGTGGGTGAACCACAAAGGAACGATTTATATTTAGCTGCTCGTATATTAACGTCGAGTAGCGCTTTATTGCAATGTACTACTCTCGTTCACCCCGGTCACGCTTTCTCCGAGAAACTCAAGACCGGGCTTTGCTTTTCCATTTATACAATCTACAGCAATTATATTTTAGTTCTTCGTGAAAGCAATAACTTCTATATTGTATTGATTTGTAATTGACATGCATATAGAAACAAATGTTTATATTCTATGACATTCCATTTCACGACCTGTTACAACTTTGTTTTTATGTAGTAATTTTTTGAAGACATAATTTTATATAAGATTTGAAATTTACTTTCTACATATAATAAAAGGTTGGTGAACATGTTTGTAAAAATTAAAAATGAAATATATAGATAATTACGTATATGTAGGTATATGATTTTTTTCAATAACCTTAAATATTCTTTATTGTTGATAATTAATATCAAGCATCTAAGCTTTTATATTCAATGTTTAGTAATGCACTAGATATTATTTAACCATGAAGTTAGTGATATATGAAATATCAAGGACAAATGATTTCTTTTCTGCAAACATAATTTTCTTCTCAACATTAGTAAATTCTTCTTGTTATTCACTTCTATGTTTACAATTTACTCAATAACTTTGAATAATATTTGCTAAGTATTGATACAAATTTCAACAGAAAAAATTAACTCAAATGTACTTAAAATTGCTTCCCAAGTTGACTTTAAAAGATGAAAAGTGCTATTTTTTTTATTAATATTTTCTATGTTGTTCTTTATGATTTTACGATAAAAAAAGTATTACTATAATAAATTAAATTAAAAGTATTCAAGAAAAACATTGTTTATATAATAAAGTTAAGATTCAGGAGTTGAAATTTCAAATTTTTATTTTTTTATTTAAATTGCTGAAGATTAAATCGATCTTGTTGAATATCGATGCTGTATATCGACTTATCGAAAAGTTCACTAAACGTTAAATTTGTGAAAGCCGTAATGGCGATTAGTCGACGCTAGTAACAGCTGTTCTGATACTTGGAAAGTATTTAAATGCAAAATTTGTTTATTTTATTGTTAATTTGATTAAATATCTACTTTGTGAAGTTAACAACATCGATGACAAATGCGGAGAAATTAATGTTTTGAGTATTCGAAGAAATAAACAAACGAAGATACTTGGAAAAATATAGGTTATAGTGTTGTATTTTTTGTTTCCGTCCTACTAAAAAAATAATTTTCAAAGTTTTGCGTTTATAAACATTTATTAACAAACTAAAAACTACAGACGATTAATCTTCTGAAAGAAGACAAGTTAAAATGTCAAATTGGGAAGAAAACTCGAACCCGATACCACCCCGATGGCTTCACTGTCCACGAAAAGCAATCAAATTGATTCGAAATAAGTTTCTTGCTTTCAAGACTCCATTATCGTCCAAATTTGATAGCCAAGTGCCAGAAGAATGTCGTTTTACGATAGATATGATGATGGCATCATTAAAAAGTCAGAAAATAAAGTTAGGTCTATGGATTGATCTAACTAATACTTCAAGATTTTATGACAAGGAAAGTTTAGAAGCATATGGTTGCAAATATTTAAAGTTGCAGTGCAAAGGTCATGGTGAAACTCCTACTGAAGAACAAACAAAAACTTTTGTGCATGTCTGCAAAAAGTTTATATTATGTCATCCATTAGAAATTATTGGTGTTCATTGCACACATGGTTTCAATAGAACTGGCTTTTTTATAATTAGTTATTTAGTAGAAACTGATTCTACTAATGTTGATGCTGGCTTAAAAGAATTTGCTATTGCAAGACCACCAGGCATATACAAAGCTGATTATATTCAAGAATTATTTAAACGATATGATAACATGGAAGTTGCTCCTGATCCCCCACCTCGACCAGATTGGTGTTTAGAATATGATGATTCTGATGTAGAAGATAGAGATGAAGGTTCCAGTACGAATGTACCAACCAAAAAAAGAAAATTAGAAATCAATAATAAAAATCCAGTATTCATGGCTGGTGTAGATGGAGTAGTTCCTGTTTTGGAAAATAAAAAGTTGAGTAAAATACAAAGACGTATACAAGACATTTGTTCTTGGCAATCAAATGGATTTCCAGGTTCTCAACCAGTTTCTATGGATGAAAATAATCTCAGATTCCTACATGATAAACCATATATGGTATCATGGAAAGCAGATGGAACCAGGTTAGATAGAAATATACTTTATATATTAAAGGCAATTTTACAACATATCGAATATTTATTTAGGTATATGATGCTGATTCAAGAGAATGGTGAGGTTCATTTTATAGATCGAGATAATAGCGTGTTTCAAGTTAATGGAATGTCTTTCCCACATCCTGAAAATGAAACTCTTAAAGATACTTTATTAGATGGTGTAAGTAATTATTCTTATAAGGTTTGAAAAATTCAAAATTATTGAATTATTGATAGAAATAATTTTCTAGGAAATGGTGATTGATAAGGGAAACGGTAAAGAATGTGCAAGATACTTAGTTTATGACATAGTAATGTATAATGGCGAAGATGTCAGTAAATTGCCATTCTATCCAAACCGCTACTTTTTTATTGAGAGGCAAGTTATAGGTGCCAGATCCAAGGCATTCATGAAAAGATGGTTGAAAAAAGAAACAGAACCCTTTTCAGTACGATTAAAACAGTTCTGGAGTGTAAATCAAACTGCTTATTTATTAAGTGATAGATTTTCCAAAAAACTACCTCATGAACCAGATGGTTTGATATTTCAACCTATGAAAGAACCTTATAAACCAGGATATTCACCAGAAGTGTTAAAATGGAAGCCATTATCACATAATTCTGTAGATTTCAAATTGAGAATAGTTGTAGAATCTGGAGTAGGACTTATCCCAACGAAAGTTGGCTATCTTTTTGTAGGTGGTAGAACTGAACCATTTAGCAAAATAAAATTGACCAAACAAATAAAGGATTTAGATAATGCAATTATAGAATGTAAATATGAAGATGGTCAATGGATTTTCATGCGTGTAAGGACTGATAAATCATTTCCTAATTCAGTTAATACAGCTTTCTCTGTATGCAAAACTATTTTAAGACCTATAACTACCAAAGTACTCTTAGATTATATTGATAAACATCGATTTGTACAAGATGATTCTGATCTAATGCCACCACCGAGTATAAGACGTAAATAATTACATCTAGTTTTAAGTATTTAAGATTTAAGAATTAAGTAGGTTTATTGTGAAATTTTAATTGGTTTACAAGCATGAAATACTTATATCTAATCTATTATAATCCATCAAACTTGTTTTAATCGCTGTAAAACTTTACAACTCTTAAATTGTTCACTCAATAAAGGAACTTCGTTACAAATAACGTGTTCGTTTTTTAATAGTTACATAATGTACTCATTGCCTAATCCTTCCTTCTAAAAATTATTCTGAGTTTTGTATTGAGATAAGCAAATTGTAAATTTATGAACTTTCATTTTTCAGATAGAACTGTTATGTTATGGTGTACAAAGGAATTGACAGTAAAACAAAAAAGATCACTACGTGTTAACATAGAATTTGATCATGCAACTTTGATACGTTGGTCTCCTGATGGTAAAGCTTTTCTTATACATAAAGCTGTAGCAAATACTATTGAAGTATATAAAATTTCCAAGAAACCAGATGGTACCTTAGCTTCCGCGACAAAAGCTTTAGAATTTTCAAAGGTATGTATATAAATATTATCTTTTATAATAGTATCCTTGATACACAAATTTTATGTTTTTCATTATTAATTTTTTAGCGACATACTGAAGATGTTGTTGGTATGGATATTGCATGTACAGGAAAATACATCATTACATGCAGTAAAATAAACGATCTTATAGTATGGGATCTCAAAGGACAGGTTCTTGCAACTATAGAGTTGCATCTTGGATCAACTTATCAAGCACATATATCACCTTGTGGACGTTTCATTGGCATATCGGGTAACATTTATAATATGTTATAATTTATTAATGTCTTTAATAACAACATTATTTAGGATTTACTCCAGACGTGAATGTATGGGAAGTGATATTTAGTAAATCAGGAGAATTTACGCAAGTAGCAAAAGCTTTTGATCTAGCTGGTCATTCATCTGGAATACTTGATTTTACCTTTAGTGCTGATAGCAGTAGTATGGCTACTGTATCAAAAGATGGAACTTATCGTTTATACGACACCAAAAGTAATATAAATTAAATGATTTTTTTATGCTATTAAATTTTATGTAATATTTTATTACATTTTTCAATTTTGAATATTTATAGTTGAATTTGAAAAAGGAGAAGATCCTCATGTACTTCAAATTGGACCATGGGAAAATACAGCAACAGCTAATATTGCACTGTCCCCTAATACTGAAGTGTTAGCTATAGCTCATGGATCTTCCTTAAGTTTTTATTCCACAATTACTGGTTTATTAGATACTACCATAGAAGATATCTTTATGGGTATTTCTTTATTCTACTATATTAGCATTGTAAATTTACATATTCGTAATCATATAATATTATTATATTCTAGGACCTATTACGTGCCTAGCTTTTGATGCTATGGGAGAATATGCCTTAGTTGCTGGAGATAGACATATAAAAGTTTTCCGCAATATTACTGGTTATCGAGTAGGAATTGAATCTGCGAGACGCAAATTAACACAAAAGCAAACATCAGCAACAAAAGAACGTTTAGAAAAACTAATTGAAGATAACACAAAATTTCTTCAAGCAATGGGAGAGAAGTGTCCTTAATAAATAAATTGTATAAAGTCTCTTTGAAAGATAAATGATTTTCGAATTGCATTGAAAAAAGAATGTAACATAATTTTTTAACGTATTTGAATAAAGAGATTCATATGAATTCATTTGTTTATAACAATCAATAGAAAACATTTGATACATCTAATTTCATTATTTTTGTAATACAAGTCACGTTATTGACACAGTTATCAACATAGAATTTATAGCTTTGAAAAATGCGGGCAGAAACCGATATACGTAAATTTTTTTGACCTTCAGCATGTAAATATTCGTTTCTGACATCAATTCGTTTACTCTTATTGTCAATGACAGTTGTGCAACACGAAACGCTATGCCTACATCGGTAGAGGTTTGCTATTAATTAAAATATTATCTATGTTATAAATTCTTATAAAATATCTATATATTACAGCAACCAATCTCACTAATTGGATGGGACTTGATAAACGATTTAAGTGCTTTACCAGAAAATGAAAATATTAGTATGTATAAATTTGTTATTTTTATATAAGTTCCAATTACTTTTAAATATCAAATAATAATATAATAAAAATTATTTTATGTTTTCTTAGTTATAGATTTCCTTTTGGAAAGATTACAACATGGTCAAATTTATACGTGGGTTGGTTCACTACTCTTAACATTAAATCCTAACAATGAAGTGTCAACATCCCATTTATATAATTCTTCAGAAGTTGATAAATATGTTAATGTGTCGGATACTATTTATGAAGCAAGTCCTCATATATTTACTATTGCTGCTAAGGCACATTACAATCTTATTAAAGAACTTGGACAAAATTCTCAGGTAGGAAAGTCAATAAAAGAATTATAAATTAATTTTCTTTGTAAGCTTGTCAATATATTATAAATTCAGGTAATTGTTATAAGTGGAGAAACTGGCACAGGAAAAACGTTTAATGCTTGCAAATGCCTAGAATTTTTTAGTAACATTAACAAAAAGTCAGTGCAACTCTGTCAAAGGGATTGTACATACAATATTATGCTAAGAATTACAGATGCTTGTCGCTTGATATCTGCTTTTACAACTGCATGTACTGAAAAAAATGAAGTAAGTTCAAGGCATGGCCAACTTGTAAAGCTTCATTACAAAAGTGGTATTATTTCTGGTGCAACTATTAATTCATTCCTTTTGGAAAGAAGCAGAGTGACAAAAGGTTCAAGCAATTTTCAAATTTTTTATCAGGTTTGATTTATACCTTTCATTACTTATTCTTGTGTAATTAAAAATGTCTATAAAACATAATATATTTTAAAGACTATATTTCAGATGATATTTGGAATGTCAGATATAGAACTTGAAACTTTAAATCTATCTAAAGATAAACATTATGATATATTAAGTATTATAGATTATAATAAAAAAAAATATTTTGAGCAAAGTTTTCAAGATACTCTAAAGGCATTGGATATATTGGACTTTAAACCAGATCAAAAAAAACATATTTTTCAAGTTCTTGCCTTACTGATTCATATGGGAAATATTAAATTTATAAAAAGTGGTGAAACATGTGCAATTGATCTTAATAATAATAGTATGTTATACTAATTATTTTAAATATCCAGTTCAAGAATTTTGAATTTTATGCAGCCTTGTTTGTAGAATCCAAGGAAGCTTTAAACAGTACTTGTACTCTTAGTTCTTTAACTGAAGATACCATAATGGAATTGCTTACTACAATTCTTATAAATCCACAAAGTACTTGGCGGAAACATACTTCTTATCATCGACATCTTATTACCGTTGATGCATGTCGCAATAGATTATATAGTATAATTAGACATATGTACGAGCTTCTTTTTCATTGGATTTTAAATCATGCAAATAGTACTTTGTCTCTAAAACAACAATATTCACAATGGCTCGGTATGTTATAAAATTAAATTTTGCATTAAAAATTTATTAAATTATATATGCATTCTCCTTAGGTATACTGGATATCTTTGGTTTTGAATCTTTTGATAAGAATGGTATAGAGCAGCTTTGCGTAAATTATGCTAATGAGAAAATGCAACAATATTTCATAGAAACTTATATGGAAAATAATCGTAACAATTTGCAGGAAGAAGGTTTTATTGAAAATTGTAGTCCTTTGCATACTATCAATTTATACAAAGAGCGTCTAAATGTTATTGAAGAGAATTTATTTTTGACTTTAAATGATGTACATAAAAAAATTTATATTTAATTATACATAGAACTTATTATTACAGTGACGTTACCATTTTCATATTACAGGCTTGTCAGTCACCTGTAGCAATTGATACATTAACAATAATTCAGTTGACATGTAAAAATCTACATAATGAACAGCAAAAATTTTTAAGAGAAAAAGAAGGAAATTTCATTATAGAACATTATTCTGGCCCTGTTGCATATTCTATTGAAGATTTAATATCTAAAAATACAGATAAGGTATGAAATATATTTGCCAATTAAGAATAAACATGGTTGTAATAACAATACATTCTTTTTTATAGGTTCCAAAAGAAATATCTTTAATTTTCAGTGCAAGTAAAAATAAATTCCTTCGTTTCTTGATTAATATTGAGGAAGAACAATATTTACATATTGTAAAGACATCTACTAAAAAAAAAACTATGTTAGCCAAATTAAAATATAATATGGATACACTTATTAAAGAACTCAGCAAATGTGACTTGCATTATGTGCGATGTGTTAAGCCAAGGTAGTATACATATTTTTATAATCATGTTTTATTACAATTTTTTATATTTAACAATTAACTTTTTTTAGAAGATTTAATCAATTGATAAATGATGAATGGGATCGAAAAGATTTTCAAAAACAACTAGCATGTATTGGTATTTTTGATGCCCTACCTTTAGCTAAATGTAAATATCCCATTCGTTTGTGTTATCGAGATTTTTACTATCGCTATGCCAACAAACCTACAGGTAAGTCACGTAGATATTTGTTTACTTATTTATTTAATTATAAAAATGGAAATATTACTTAACAGAAACGATAAATCCCAATAAATGCAAATTGATTTTGGAATCAATTATACCTAAAAGAGAATTGCATACCTTAGTTCATTTTGGAAATCAATTGATCTTTTTAACAGGATCAATTTTTCTTAAACTAGAATCTTACAGAAGGAATTATCGCAGAAAATGTGCTAATAAAATACAAACATTTTGGATAAGCCATAGTAAGCATAACATTTCACATAATGTTTTTTTTTTTTTTCTATAATATTCTTTTCACAGGACGTAAAAAAATACCGACTATCTCAAAGTGCTTGACAACTAACTATCAAGTAGAAAATATATATAAAACGAATGAAAATGTTACACCTGTTAAAATTGTACCCGGTCGTGAATTAAAAAAATCAAATACATCGGATGATGATGATGTATTTATCGCTAATCCAACCCCTCCAAAAAATATTGATAACATGAGCTACTTAAATTTCGTAATAGAAAAAGAAAAAGATGACAACAGTATTAGTAAAAATGAAAATCTGAATGAAATTTGTCCAGAAAGTAATAATGTCTCGACAAAAGAACTATATGTTTTCAAAAAAATTGATGATCTTAATAATTCGAAAAATTGCTTTAAAAATAATACTACAAAATTTATGAAAATTATAAGCCCTGGTTACCTTTTTAATGTTAAATACGGTAAAAACTTTTATGTGTATAATGATATAATGAACTACAATTATAATAATAATGACAATAACTTATTGAAGCAACATTTAGCATCAGACATTTTTCTGATTAATACAGACTCTGCAAAAAACAGCAATATAAGAAAATGTTCTGTACATTATGAGACAGTATGTATTTTTATTTTATGTTAGAGAATAATTTTAATATTCTAAAAAACTATTTTTTTCAGGAAAGAGATAGTACCATTCAAATAAGTTCTTGTTTATTTTTTTATAAAAACAGAATTTTAAGTCGACGACGGCTTGCTGCAGTATGTATTTCAAAAACGCAAGAATATTAAACACTAATACTGATGTTAAAAATATTTATTTCAGATACCGGTAAGGATGCATACTCGGGCAACATGTTTAATTAATTCGTATGTATTACCACATAACAAATTATCACAAGGATTAGTGTCTTTAACAGAATAAGAATTGATCTTTTCAAAAAGGTCAGTCATTATTTCAGTCTTTTTCTTACTATTAGTTCAATAAATATATTTTGTTATACCTTTTAGCAATATATAGAAAACATTGTTTTGAGGATGTACTATTATAAGTAGAGTAAAAAATAATAAGCCTAAAACTTTATGTACATGCTTTACGATACAAGTGCAATGTTTTCTCGCTTTAACGGGAAAATGTTAAAATAAATTATATTTGTAGAGATATGGGTGGTGGTTTAAATAATACTAACTATTTATTAGTAATAAAATAATAATATAATATGTGGTGACGATCAAGCCTACGAATATAGATAGATCAACTACAACTACAACTTAACAACACAATTACAACTCGACTCGTTGCAACTAAAATACAACTCTCTTCTGATCACTCTTCCTAAAAACTCTACACAAGAACTGTCCCAACATAACTGTCCACTTCACGCCCATGTACCCTTATTTAAAACCATACCCTCTATCCTCTTTCATACCCATGCTTTCTTTCCCAATCACGCTTTTCTCACGCACTCCTTACAGCCTTGCCCTTAACGGGTCACGTAGTTCAAACACTTAGATCCATTCCTAGAGACACACTCTTCACTTGCAACCGATATATTCATAAACATCCTGTCCACACGATCCTAACGCACGATCATTCATCCTTTCGCACGCACTCCAGATAATACGCTCGAGCCAAATCCAAGTTCATTATCCCGCGATACTACATATTTATTTTGAAATAAAATGAATTCCTCTTAAAAAATAATTTCGCTTGTAATAAAAGCTAACTGTACACTGAATTGTTATTTAAATTATAAACAACCATATAATAGATTGTAAGTATCAAAAGGCATTTTTTTTTTATCTTTAAGAACTAATAGTCTCCGTGATGCTACAAGAGCAAGTGTAGCCTGGAGTTCGCTTCTTAAAATTTGATAATTTGCTCTTAAACTAACACGTCTTAAATTACTTGGAGGTACCGGTCGTCCACCAGCGAATGCAAATCTAAAATTGTATTACAATATAAAAAAATTAGACGTGTGTAAATTGATGTCACTTTTCTTTACTTGATAAATGTAATATTATCATTATACCTTATTTCCCGTCGTGGACCTCGCAATGTAGAATCGGGAAAAGCTGTCTGCCGATCCCATAATAGCCGGTTGCTTATTACTGGTCTAACGTTAACATACTTTATTTTACTTTTAATAGTGATAGGAAGAGGAGTAGGTTTTTTGTACACATTTACTGTGCTTTTATAACGAAGTGGTAAGTATGGTAATAAAGAATCTCCATAGAATTCCATAAAACTTTCAATATCTAAAGTATGAGCTTGTGATTTTATAAGAGCACAAATAATAAGCTGCAATTAAAATGCACATTATAATAGAAAAAAAAAAGATATGGGAAAAATATATATTAAAGTTAACTCACAGCTATTTTTTGCCACAAAAAAGAACCAGGTAGTGCAAATTTTAAAAAAGAATGCACCGAAAGTGGAGACTCTAACTCTTGTTGAAAGAGAATTAAAGGCTGAACACTAGCTAATAGTTCCATAGCCATTAAGGTTTTCTTATCACCATCTATATTTGCTTTTTCTTCTTTTAAAAGCACGTTTTCCAATATAGGAATATATCTTTCAATGATAAAGATTAATTTTAAAATAAGTCAATCATTATTAATTAGGATTTAAAAGCATGAAGAAATGTTTACTTGTCAGCAATGGATGGCCATCGAAGCATCAGCTTTAATGCACATTCTTTAAATAATACTTCAAGATTTGGATTTATAAAACTCTGTCCTAAAAGTAATTCCAATAGCAATTCAGTTAATTTATCAACCTATAATAAAAAAAACATTAAAAGTCTGAAGACATTAGTTTCACTATTATATTAGATATGATTTTTATATAATTTTATTGCTTATTATTACCGAAGTTAGGTGATAAGGATAAACAGCTTCACTGTTACTTGCAATTGCAATAATAAGCTGACATGTTCTTGTGGATACTCTTGTATATTGTATATTATTTGAAATTACCACAGATCTGGCAATAGACATTAATTTATCTATTACACCTTCTCCACTCAGATGGGCATTAGTGGCACAATCATTAATTAAAACCTATAAATTATATACACTGTAATATTTATATGAAATATCACATAAATTAAATTTACCGTACTTGAAATGTTTTCTGAGATCCATTAAATAATGTTTTCAATGCGCGTTTTGCATAATTATTTCGTGCTTCTGTAAGTCTCACATCGCATATCTCTGATTCTATAAAAGATCAAATATGTTACTGATAAATTACAAATAATATTAATATGCAATGAAATTAATCTGAGTAATGAAAGTAATACCTTGAATAAAGGGGATATTACTCTGTGATATGTTAAATGGGTCATTTATCTTTTGTACCAAATTAACAATATGTTCACTAGGAACAAAAACTTTTGCTTCTGTATGATATTCCGGCATAGATTCTGATGCACCTAATATAGGATCTGCATCACATAAATTGGTAATTACGGCATTTACATCTGTAGATGTTAAACGTTTCCTTTTGCTATGTTTTAATCTTGTTACACATTTCTAGAAATTAAGTTCAGTTTGTATCATTGTAATGTTACACTTGTATCTTAAAAGTAAATATAATAATTATATATACATGCAAAACTTCTCTAAGTCGATACGAGGCATCCTCTGCAAGTCCTTTTAATAAAGAATCTGGCAAGGGATGCATCCCCAATTCTTCTCCAATTACAGATATCCAGTCTGTACTGAGCACAGCGTATCTCCTTGTATTATTATCGGTAATATTATTACTATTAGTATCTTCATTATTATTATTGACGAAAGAATTACTATATCCTGAACTAGTTTGATTTGTTAACATTTCTTTCATGTTTTCAAATTATACAAAATTAGAATTTTTCTTATACATTAGTTTTAATACGATATGGCTGACAAAAGAAATTATAATTTCTTTTAATTGTATTATACGATACATGTTTTAAAGTTAAATAAAAAGCGAAAATAAATAATATATTTTAATTCAATGTAAAAATATAAATTTATTTGATTAAACTTAGCTATTTTACTAACTTAAAAAAAAAAAATTAATATATTGTGGGTATAAATGGACGTTGTTGAAGCAAGAAATAAAGATGACACTAATACTATGATCAAAGTTTTCTTCGTTCCTTGTTTATTTCGTAGAATAATTCATTTTCTATCATTGTCAGGTGAAAGCTGACGTTTCGTAAAATTTCAAGAGGCGCGTCGACCAATCGGAAGCGTCGACGAATTTACGCACAGAAATATCACTGACGTGTCCACGGACAGGAAACTACTTCAAGAGTTCATGATTATTCTTGGTTTGCACAAGAACATCAGTTGAAAACAACAGTGCTTGACGAATTGTGTCAATTACGGTGTAATTTGTAAAGCAACGAAATTATGGCAGTATTGCTAAACACATTTGTGAACTCTTTCACTAAGAGATTGTAAGTACTTTTTTTTATCGGATTAATAATATAAATTTTTTTATTAAAGTGACATTTTTATCGATAAATATAAATGTGTCGTTTTTACTTTAATATATGCCAATTTTCGGGAATTTTTTATTATATTTATATCCTAATTTTCGAAACATACTATTTTATGATGATGTAACTCTGAAGTCGCCAAAGAAACGTTTCGTTTTGTAAAAATCTTTCTTTTTACGCAGCTTTAAATAAAATTATTTATCATGATTTGCATTTTTTCTTATCTACGTTTTTAATACATTATATGACCTTCAAGCTTATATGTACATTCTAGAACTTCGTTAAATTGAATATTTCATGTACTGAAACTTTTTATTCGCGAACATAGTATGTATGACGTGTTACGAGTACATCGAACGTGATAACTTTATAAAATTGTAATTGTAGTTTTTTTTTACAAGTATTTATCAGTCTTATGTATTTTCTTTAATATTTTTCTTACATTTCAACTTTTAATATAAATATAACTAAATATACTGATAACTATTACATTTTTACATATATAGAAAATGATAAAGATGTTTGATTATAGGGAACCTCCTGTTAGGCAACACTTGAAAAATGTCTACGGATGTCTCTCCATGTCAACATTATCAGCTGCTGCAGGAGTTTACGTTCATATGTTCACAAATCTTTTACGAGCTAATTTATTAACAACCCTTGGTACATTGGGTCTACTTTTTGCTTTAACTGTTACACCAGACAATGGAAAAAATCAGAAGTTACGACTTAGCTATCTTTTGGGATTTTCATTCCTTTCTGGGCTTGGTTTGGGTCCTTTACTTCAATTGGTCATAAATATTAATCCTAGTATTGTAGTATCTGCACTATTAGGTAAAATATAATAATTTAAATTTATTCTTTGAATATGAAAAGTAATAATAGATTAAAATACGTCAGTTATTATTACACATTGTGGTATCATATTATAATATTTTGATATTGTTCTAATAATATAATATATTTTATCTTTACAGGAACAACTATTGTGTTTGTATCATTTAGTATTTCTTCTCTTCTGGCTGAGAGAGGACGTTGGTTGTATCTTGGTGGTACCTTAATTAGCTTGCTAAATATTATGGTTGTGTTTTCATTTATCAGTCTATTCCTACATTGGTCCTTCATCTATCAAACTCATTTATATATTGGACTGTTCTTAATGTGTGGTTTTGTTATTTATGATACACAATATATGATTGAGAAATACTATATGGGTAACAAAGATTTCATTCTACACTCTCTAAATTTATTCCTGGATTTCATTGGAATTTTCCGCTACCTTGTTATAATTCTTGCAAGAAAGGTATAAATTAGAAACAGTATATACATATATTAATGTTCAATATTTTAATTGTAAATTTACTAACACTAGTTATTTTTATTTGTTATAGGAAATGTCAGCGTCTCAACGTAAACGCCAAGATTAAATAAGAGCAAAGAAAAATATAAAATATCATACCATTCAAGTAAATCCATGAATTAGAGGTCTTCATCTTATCTATCCATATATAAAACATATATTTACTATGATAAAATGAATTTAAATAATCAGCTTATTAATTATATTGGAAAATTTGTAGACATGCGTTGGCCATAAAGACGCAATGTATTTTTATTTCGAATTACTTGTTTGTCTTAATTACCTATTATTACCTATTACTATTATTTATTAGATTTATATACATGTATACATAAAAATAGATATAAATTTATTGTACTATATTTTTATCTTTCAATAAACAAAATTTCCCAGCGTTTCTAGGTCTCTTTTCTTCAAACTGAAAATATTCCTACATGTGAAAAATTGTACAAGATTCAATGTTATAGAGTTGAGGTCTTATTTATTAAAATGTAACTTTACACATATGATTATCATTTACATGCGTATATAAAACACAAAAATTACACGTCACGCATCGATCTCCGTGAATATAAAAAATGTACGAGAAAACAAAACTATGATAATGGAGTGTAACACATGATTTTTGTGTTGTGACAAATGTACATACGTTGAGATTGTGTACAAACTGTGTACAATACGTCAATAAGTGATTAATCAATCACTTTTTAGATTATCTCTAATAAGGTCGTTGACGATCCCTATCTCTGTCTCCTCGACTGAAATAACAAAATAAAGAAATCAAATATTCGCTGTTTTAATTACGTATTTAGTACGATTAAAATGTGATTATAGAAACTAACCCTCCACCACCTCTCATTGGTCCACCACGACCACCTCTTCCGCCCCTATCCCCGCCGCGGAAACCTCCTCGACCACCCCTATCACCTCCTCGGCCACCTCTATCACTTCTAAAGCCTCCTCGACCTCCACGATCACCACCACGATTGCCTCTTCCACCACCACTGCTACCACCAGCACCTTCAGGTTTTAAACTTTTGCAGAGGTTGCATTGATCCCTCCAAGCAAAATTTGTATTACCACATTCTGGATTAGGACACCTATTTTAATAACATAAAACAAATGGTTTTTACATAGCATCTAATTTTTAGTATGTAACACATACTGTTATAGAAATAAAATCAAATGGTACCGCCAATCTCCTCCGCGACCACCTCCATCACGTCGATCATCACCACCACCGCGATGATGATCATCTCTGTCACCTCCACCCCCGCGGCTTCCAAATCCACCACTTCCTCGACCTCGACTACCACCCCCACGGCTTCCACCACTACGATTACCCTGCCAATTGCTTTTATGCTGGGCAATTTGTACTTTTATAGTTCGACCTTTAAATTCTTTTCCATCAAACCAATCTATCGCAGAACGTGCAGCATTTTGATCGTCGTAAGTCACAGTAGCTTCACCCTTCGATTTTCCAGTATTTTTATCTTTGTACATCCATACTTTAGGTTTTCCTGTCCGCTTATCATGCTATACATATTCATGAACATTAGGATGATGTATTTATTTATATGATATATATTGCTTGCTTTCAGAGTGAGATGGCTTACTTTAATTATACCAATGGCTCCAAAATGTTGACAGATTTCTTCTTCTGAAATTGAAGGATCCATACCAGATACAAAAATAGTATCCTCTTGTGTAACCATTCCATCGTTGCCCCCTCCACGGTCACCATAGCCTGTAATGTGATGAGAATTAATACTTTGTCTAGCATGATACTCCTTGAGGTAAGGAATAATACTTGCAAATCTACTGTCCCTAAACCTACTGAAGTCTAAGCTAACAAGTAGAAAACTTTTGTATCGGGTTAAAAACAGCTAATAACACAGTACACCTTGGAGGAATAAAATTTTGCAAACCATTTGGAATTTTACACTATTATTTACTTTTTTCTAAGTTACAAGAATACCTCTCGTATGAATACCTCTCCCCAATACATCCACATTTCATATTTTAAACAATTTGAAGTTGTACGTAAACCTAAGCACTGTTTTAAGCAATTGAGTACTTTATTCCTCTCTTCTGGAAGGATTACCAATACATTTAGAAGTTATTACTTGTTCTAATAACAAAAATGTAATAACTTTTGTTTTCTTTAATAACCATTACCCACAAATAATGTGTTTCTGAGGAAAAAAATTATCTTGTAATATTATATACCAGGAATTTTGTAATTTATGTATGTTTAAAAACATACAATTACTTTGACATTAGTTTTAGTTTATGAATGTACAAATTTTGTCTTGCCTATTAATAAGTGATATACCTTTCTTAACAATACTTGAGACTTCTTAATTTGTTCATTTATTACACCTCTATTATTATGTGTATACTTAAAATACCTTGCATGAAATTATTGATTCAGAGGTATCTTTTTCTGTTTCATTCGTGCAGTAACAAAAGTATTAGTACTCATTGGCCTAACATTCTTAGTAGCATATAACAATATGTAGAGAACACAAGGTTGCAGCTTAGCATACAAAAGGGCTGCAACATTATTTTTACTCTTACCATTTTCCTATATTGTATTTTTGGGGAAGCCTCAATTGATTAGGAATAGGTAGATATTTAATTCACCAGCTGCCTTTTATGTTTATTATTATCCTAGGAAATATTTTAAAATATCTAAGTGTAAGCAGCACAAGTGCTGATTAAAGATACACAAACATCATATTATTCTATTGAATGTTTGTTTTTACAAATCTGCCTATTTTATATTTCTATATGTGAAAAAGTGAGATTTAATGTTAATTAGATGTAAAGCGCATAGCGCATTTGTACTTCAAATAAATTATTACATAATCTAGTGTCACTTATATAACCTTTTAAGTAAAGAGTTATGTTACCTACTCTTATTATTAATATTACGATATCTAAAAATATATAAAAAAACTTGTTTGTATTCACTGCAAAAAGCAATTGGTGAGCAAAGCAGCTACTATGATGCTGCAGTAATATTATTACATAGTATTTATACCATTTCTAAAATTATGTTAATTTCTGAATGGATATTAATTGCCATAGAAACATGAATTCCTAACAATGTTGCAGAGCAGCCCTTTCATATAATACGAGTAACCGAGTATTTAGATTTTAAATATTAGAGTGAAAGCTTGAATAGCACCAGACTAGTACAGACAGTCTGGTGCATTTACCTTTGTTATAACCACCACGGCCACCGCCACTGCTAAAACACAGAAGCAGATATACCAATGAGTTGACTCATGGACAGACTGATCGATCGATCGATGCATGGCGAATCAAATGCTGCTCGCCATCTCTCTTCTTGATGTACCTACTGTCTAAATGTCTGTGGTCACTATATTACTTAACACTAAAGATAAGTCACGTATACCGTCAAGTTAGTCCGTTATGTATGGCATGCAAAAATTATGCTCTTTCTCTGCACAGCTATTATTAATAACTTTGCAAGAAATAAATTTGTCAAAACAATCCTGTATAAAAGATTATCCTATTTATGTCAAATATACAGAAATTATTTATCTGAGAATTTATTGATAAGAGATTACTATTAATTGTATTTCAAATAATGTATAATAAAACTAGTAGAGTAGTAGTTGAAATAAAATTTTTTCAATTATTCTGGGTGAACAACTGTAATGTTCGTATAACATTAATATCCTATTGCGAAAAATAGACAAAATATATTAAAACACCAATACATTCAATGAAACTTCAACTTATATAATACTATTTCATTTACATAAATTGCAATCTCTTACAAGAAATTTTAAGCGTCTTTTGATTGTCTAGTCGATTTCAATAACCCTAGATAGTACTATTCAGACAACAGTGGCCCCAGTGGCAGTATAAACCGCTTTACAGGTATAATCAATACAAAACCATTATGTATACGCATCATATTATCACTTATTGTAATAATATAAAATCAGTATGTACCAGACATTATAACCATTTCACGTCATTTGTCATATACAACCTGTTTTTACCTTTACCAGTTATACCTGTGCGTTAAACCTGTAGGCACACTTCAAACATATTAACGCCCAATGGGCATAAAACCATTTGCAAAGAGACAACAAGTTTTCATTACTGTCATAAGAATTTCATTTCATACCTTGATTACTTCAATGAACATATTTACCTCTTCACTGATTAATATTGTTGATATATGATTGAACTTTTTTTATTGGCCATATAATTTTTTTCGCTTCATTATATATTTATATATACATAATACAAGAAATAAACTTACTTGTAACTACCGCCAGAGCGGTCATTGTATCCCCCGCGATCGCCATATCTACTGCCACCACCTCCTCCTTGACCTAACAATATACACATACATATAGCCAATGAATTATATCTTTAAAGATTCATATTTCATCAAAAGTATTCATAATATTTAATATACCTCCACCATAGCCTCCACCAGAACTATTACGATTATATCCTCCACTGCCTCCACCTCCACCGCCATGCCCATAATTGCCACCATAACCGCTGTTGCCACTATTTCCAGAACCACCTCCACTGCCGTAACTGTTCTGGTTGTAACTGTTTTGATTTTGTGATTGATTGTAGTCTGGGCCACCGCTGGAATTGTAACTGTTGTAACTGCCATAATTGCTTCCACTGTTTGGTGGTGGTTGACTATATTGATTGTAGCCACCACCACCACCGCTAGAAGGTGGTGGATACGAAGTATCCTGACCACCAGAAGGTGGTGGCTGACTGTACTGATTGTACCCCTGTTGCTGATAATTTGAATACTCTAAAACACGTATAAAAAATGTTATTAAGCATCAATAATGTAGAATTTTATATAAAAACTCAATTATTACATATTAAAAAATGCAAAATAATATACATCATATTTAATTGTTATAAAAATGCAGTTATTACATGAACATTAAATGTCAATACAACATTTAAATATCAAATTATACAAGATAAAATAAAAAAAAATAGAACGAGACGCTTGAGATGCCGATCAATAAGTTTACGCAAAAATGCATAGAAGAACCTCATCACAATTTTCATTCTTATTTACTATTTTATACGATTTTATACAATTCTTACATTTAAATATAATTTAAAATAACTATTTAATAATGTATTACATATTAAATAAAGTAGCTGGAAAAAGTTTTAAACGTGGCAACATAATGAATTATAGCAATATATATTACCTAAGAAATTTTCGATTGAAAAATATTCTTTTAGACAGATAAAAATCAATTTTCTAGTATTATAAAGTAAATAACAGTTTTTAATATAAAAATTTGAAGCTTTTTTACTTACGGGTGTCCGTCATCGTGCCTTCCTCCGGTAATCAAGTTGCTACACGGCAGAAAAAGCACGTAATGGCGGGAATGAAGCGATTTTCCAACGACGAGTCTGAACGGTTTGAGTTCAGTATTCAGATTTCATTACCGGATATTGGATACGTAGAACGGAAGTCTCCTTTGTTAGATGGCGCTAGTAGTTTATTGAAATTTAAAACATCAGTTGACTGTAGTAGTTACAAATTCAAATTTTAAACCGTTGGAAACGTATAATGATAACGTTAATAAACCGAATAACGTATAACTGATAAAGTGTCATTTTAAAAACTAATATTTAAAATATCTATTTCATAAATGATTTTAATTTCTTCTTAAACAATTATGTGAGGAAGGAAAAGTAAAAAATAACTTATCAGTAACTTTTTTTATTAATCTTATATTATAATCTACTATTTATTTTAAGTTCTTAGTATAATGCATGATTTTATGTTCGTTTGTAAACTTTATTTTTCTCAAAATTATCATAAAAAAACATTTTTGATACAGTGACATTTATTCTTTACTACTGTCTTTTTTTTCTTTTTTTTGATACACAATATTTACATCTGCAGTAATATACTTTATTGGTATTACTGATTTGTCCATGTTTATATCCTATCAATTCATTAATGAATTAAATTTGTTCATATCTATAAATTTATGAAATTTTTGTATCAAATCAATAATTATTGAAATCAAATTGAAATGAATTATTTGTGAAAAATTAGTAATCTCGATGAATTGAGTAATACATGTTGAAACATATGTATATTTTATATGTATATATGTAAATATAAATACATTCCTACTTCGTCGATTCTATGATACATGTTAATAATATACAATTCCATAAGAAAAAATTTTACATTTTTAAATACGATAAAACAAAAAAGGCACATTTTTCTATCAAAAACAAATTTTTGAAAAGCATGTTATAATGGAAATGAATATTATAATTTTAAGTTAATATAGTATAACTTTAAGTTAACTGAAAAACAACTTGATCAAAAATAATGTTTTTGTAACTTATATTCTTTCATGTGACAATTTCTGTACATGTGTGTATTTTTAACAAAGAAATTTAATTGCTCCTATTAAAATTGTGATGTTAAGTCAAAAGTTGCATACAAAAAGAAAAGGTGAGATTGAAGATCACGAATTGGAATGCTGAGATGGTGTTAAACCACCACTATGTTCAGGACTGTGTTTTTGTTTTTTTCTTTTTTTCTCTTTTTTACGTTTTTTCCTAGCTTCTTTTTCTTCATCATGTCTTTTTTGTTTTTTATGCTTTTTCTCATGGGTATCTGAACCACCAATATCTGTAGTTGTTGCCTCTTGACCACTAGGTACTTCTCCTGGTTTGTGTTTATGTTTTTTATGTTTATTTTTATGTTTCCTCTGTGGAGCTTGATTAACGTAACGATATTGCTCTGGTAGCTATAAAAATATATAAGCTTGAGTTTTGTTGAATATTTTATTTACTAAATATTTTTGTCAGAATATAGTTGGATTTACTTACAGGGCCAGGATGTAGACGAAAACCAGCTAATTGGACACTGGTCAATGGTATTAAATCTTTTCCTCCTATTGGAGGTTTTTCAATTACAGATCTTAATGAACTAAAACATAAAATTATAATATTGGGTTTGTAATGTTTTAAATATACCACCTAATATAATAAATAAAATATTATAATAATATACCTATTATCCAAGTGACCAGGTCTATCTATAATTCCAGGCAAATTCGGTAAAAATGATGAAAGTTGTTCTTTAAGTTTTTTTCCACTAAATTTGCTATAAGAATGTTCCAGCCCATAATAGGCCATCAAGTTCGTTGCCCCTGTAAGTTCACTTTCTCCTACAAAATTTTAACAAGAAATAATATATTAGTTTTATTATTATACTTTACAATTATAATATATAAATGATGATATACCAGGGGGTTCCTTCATCAAGTAAAATGGTCCACTGTGAACAATGGAAGGATTTTTACCCAGGGAAATGGTTGTTTTAAGAGTCCCTGTTGAATCTTGGCGTGAAACAACAGGGGAACGTGCACCCCTGGGTGATGACTTTGGTGAGTATTGCTCCACTTTGCTACGAAACTGATCGCCCATCATCATCCTTTGATTTTACTTCATGGCACCTTCACTACAATTAATAGGCTCTAGCAGAGAGCATGAATGACAGCTAAAACTTGTTTTGGTAAACCAATATATGTTTACACTGTGTACTAAAACATCCAAGTATAACTTGATGCTATTATAAAATATATAATGAACACATAGGTTTCATGTCATTATACATAAACATTATACAACACAGCAAGAATGGGGATAGATAATACAATAAATTATACACAAAGTCTACAATATGTTCGAAATTCTTGCGATTTCGTTTAACTTGATCTCATAAAATATATGTAATAGAATTACACGTTTGAATTATCACCGTAATCTACTCTTCCATAAATTAAATAAGATTGTGATAGTTTTATTAGCATCTTGACTCATTACTTATTTGGCTTTTTACGTAGGTTACAGTTCGTATAAAACGAAACAATTATTATCACTAACGAGACTTCACAGTTTTACTTCTTAAACTAAGAGTTAATCAAAGTTTTATGTTGTTATTGTACTTAATTATGTTCATATTGATGCAAACGTTATAGATAAACTCATGTGTGTTAAGATGTCTAAATTCATAATTTGTTCACGTATCCCCACTAGCCAACAAACTCTCTCTTTCGCGTTCATCTCTTACCGAAGCACTGATTTATTTAAATATTTTTTATGCTTTTTTGTGTTCGTATATTGTATAATACACACGGAGATTCACACTTTGTGCATAATTGTTTCTACATCAAAGCATGTACGAAACTACGTATGTATAAGATAAGAAACTATGCAAGTTAGGCTACTAGTTATGTTTGGTAGATTTGGAAAAATTAAAGAATTAGAATTTAGTAACAGAAACTACGAATTAGTGTTTCCTATTTATGTATATTTTCATTTATGATGTTCTTTTTATTGAAAAAGATATCTTTTCTTTTATATCAACAAATTTCACAACGCTTATAAACGTAAATGCTTAGAGCATATATGCATGTGAAATGTATACTTTGGGTACATTTACAACGTATATTTCGTTTATGTATTCTTTTTAATAATTATGAAAGAAGGGGAAAGTAATACAGAATTTATTTTATATTTTAATCACTTCGCTTAATTTCAATTACAATATACATATGTAGATGAACCGTATTATAATAAGGTTATGTTTTCATAATAGTATGTATGTAGATAAATTTAATTGTTCATAAAATTAATTATCCTTGATGTTTAACGTACATACTTTCAATTCCGTTAAAAATGAGTTCTCTATTAATTGCACAATTTTTAAATTACGATACATTAAAGCTACATCCATTGGTGTTTGACCAGCTCTATTCTTTCGATTCAAATCCGCTCCCTTTTCAATAAGATAACTGTTTGATTTAAAATTTAATTCATGATGTTAGATGTGAAATAAACATTTCAATATATGTATATATATTTACTAACGTGGCTAATTCTAAATTTCCTGTCATGGCTGCTATATGCAACGGTGTACGTAAACCGATAAAATCTGTTGTATTTACATCTGCTTTGTTTTGAAATAGGAAGTCAAGTATTTGCGTATCCGGTATATTCCATGTATACAAAATAGTTTCAAGAAGTAAATTTAATGAAGTTTGGTGTGGCGCGGATGAAACAGTAGCGCTGCAAGTTCAACTGCGTTAATTATATGAAAATTTTAAATCAATTATATTTATTTACCCATGGGATAAAAATAATTTAATCATGGGAAGGAAAGGTCTTCGTATAACGCTGGTGTACAAAGGACTTTCATGAAAAATATCATAAACATTCACATGAGCGCCGTTTGTTAACAATAGAGAGGCGCTTTCAATATCTTTTTGAAAAGCAGCATAATGCAAAGGATATCTTCCTAAATTATCTATGCAATTAATGGTAATATTAGTCTCAAGTAATTTCCTAATCGCATTTTTGCAGCCAAGAAAAACGGCCTTATGAAGGGACGTCAATCCTGTTCAAAAATAATAATTTTTGGTCTATTTTTAATTATCGATACTCTATATATTAATATATGGATATATTATAACGTAAATTTTAGAAAGAAAGGTTAAGAAGAAATTTAACTAACCATATATCGTTTTTGCTTCGATGTTAATAGATGGTTGATTGCAAAGCAGCTCAATAAGTTCAGCGTCATCATGTTGAATCGCAATGTGTAGAGGAGTTAGATAATCGGATCTTCTGCAATTGATATCAGCACCCTAAACAACATTGTTTACAAAATTAACATTAAAAGCACTATTACAAAATTCACTAATCATAATCGGAACTTAAAAATTGTTATACTTGAGAGAGTGCTTCTTTTGCGATAGGTACATGACGCAGAGTACACGCTAATAATAATTTCCAAGTAGCGTTATCTTTTATTGATTCTGGCCAATTTGTAGGATCGACTATAAGAATACGACGTGATGATTTGTTTTTCATTAATTATAATTTTTACTTAATAACAGAGAAATTTTAATGATATAGAAAATTTAAAGGTTGACAGTATCATAGATAAAACATAAGACAGATTTAATTTTCAATGCATTTTTGTTACTAACATATTATTAAAATGGAAAGAAGTTATGTATAATATCATATATATATTCGTAAATAATATATAATTATTCATGGATTCGAGAGTTTATAATCTTTTAAATATTATAGATTATAAAATATTAATCTTCATTTCGTATTATATTGACTCGAGGAAAACAGCAGAATTAATATAATATTTTATAATAAATATTTATTAGTATGTATGTGCTATTGATTTAGTGTCACTGATAATTTTGTTCGTTAACATAATATTGTATCAAAATAGCCAGGTTGCTTGATTAGAAACTAGTACGAGTTGTTTTTATTAAGTTGTAATCTTAGATACAGGGACTCAAATTTTAATTGTTGTTCGCATCCGAAACGATTTCTTCCAATGGCTCATATTTCATTAGATTTCATTATACAAAAATGAAACGTTCTGTAAGGTAAAGGAAGGGTAGATAAATAGTATTCCAGAATGAATGATTATAAGTAGAATATAATTATTTATTATTTTTTTGTGGTTTAGTTTCATGGCAATAATATGTTATCGTTCAATCAAAAGCACCATAAGTTTGAAAAATACTTACGATGCCGAATGATACAACACGTACATATAATCAAACGTTTACATGATGTATTTTACGTTATAATATGCATATAATATCCATTCTAAAGTAACATAGTTGACACACAGTTTCGTTTTATGCGGTTATAGTAATTCGCAAAGTCGATTAGCAATCGGTGGCATACTGTTAACATTGAAAAGGTTTTGATAGAATTTCACGTTTTTCCAAGTACGTGCTGCTACAATTTTATTGAATTTTATCCTTATTATTTTTCTTCGTAGATCACGATATTCTAATTTACGATAAATTTTTCAAGGTAAAAATACGAATACTTGTTTCTTTAAATGTTAATATTACAATTCACGATGTTACAATATATTTCCATAAAATTGACAACAAGAAGTTTTAGTAAATCTCGAAAATTCTCTTGACTTTATTTAAAATGTATTGAAAATAGTTCAAATATAAAGAAAAATTTAGGAATAATTATCAACACGATATCTCACAGCGATACTTTACTAGAATTTTTAACCAACGTTAAGTCTTTTTGTCGTTTCATTTTTTCGGCTACTTCGAAAAGGAACAAGCTTTCCGATGTTTTGACATTCATTGACAGCTCAACAACTCGTTGCTATTACCTTAAACAATATTCTGGTTGAGGGTTAATTCGTGGTGAGAATATAGTATCGTATGATTTAATCTCTTCCTTCTCCCTTCTTCGTGCTTTCTGTTTACAATTTGACAAGGTAGCAGCCACGTTCTAAATAATTTTGACTTTTCAAAAATCAATAATCGTAATCCAAATGCAATTTGGATGTTTTACAGACTAATAAAGTTTCGACATAATCGGTCTTCGTCCCCAAGGAGAAAGATGTAGTTGTAAAATATGCATAAAACGTTTAGCTTTTCGAGTAACACTTCGTTCGATCGCGAAACACTGCATCGTATCAATGAAATCCAAACCCGATTGATCGACATTCCTTTAATCATACATAATAATCGTTACTTTTCATGATCTATAACATTAATTACATGTTAATGTGTAATAAATACTGAATCTTTCCCTCTTGGTATTACTTAGTCTACGTAATTCTAATTACACGCTAAACGATCGTCAAAAATATATAGCATCGAGTCAGAAAAGATTTTTTTTTTCGTACCGATCGTTACGTGTCCGATCGATCGGTCAGTCGTTCACTAGATTTCCCTCTTCTACCGTTAAAATATCATATATTATATTATTATATACGCATTTCAAGCATATACTGATCAAACGACAAGGAACGAAAAGGAAAAATTATTCAGTCTACTCGAAACATTTGCTCTATGGAAGGCCATGTTTGGTTCGATCGAGAAGAACATTAGATGTTACTCGGTGTAATTTGTATACATACACTTACGTACTTTTTGTTTTTCTCTTTTTTTCTTTTTTTTTCCCTTAACTTTTTGTCTTTTTTTTCAATTTTTTCTCACAATGGTAAGACGATGGATTATCGGTATAATGGTGCTTCACACTTTACACTCGCAACAGAAGACGAGAATGAAAAATTTCACGCACTCGACGAATCTTAGTAATTCACAATTATTATCGTTAATAATTACAATCTGATTTCTTTTAAATTTCAATCGAATCTACGAGTGCCTTCGTTCACTCACGATGAGACACTGACAACTGCGTTCCAATAAGTTTATCGTCCGATTGGAGCTGATAAACGTGAAGGATCATAATCGAGTCGTGAAATTTTTATTTTCGAGTGTTATTTAGTCAGCCATAGAATTGAACATCATCGAGATATGCGTCGATATACTCATCAATGCTCCATTGACAATAATCGTTACAATTATACAATTTGTACACGGCTAGAAAAATTAATTGACGATCACGTTTAAAGTAAGGGGTTGAGGATTATCGATCATGTCGGCACGTCGAATATAAAGTGTGAATCCAATAGAAGATATGTTGTTATAACTCTCAACACCGACGATATCATTCGATTCAAACTGGTATTTTCAGTACTCAATATACACCGTGCTCTGGTATCTTTCATTTCGTGTATGCGTGTGTGTAACATTTTTCTCTTTGCAAGCTAAATTAACCGGATGAGATATACATATAATAGAGGTACGAGCAAGCCTGATTGAACTCTGGCCACTTTGTCTACCTCTTGTCCACATATTATACGTACATGTATATGTATTATATATATTGTATTATGTTACATATATAATTAATTATATTAAATTGTAATGCTAATACAATATAATATATATCATATATACATATACATAAATATGTACATTTATAGACACGAAACGAATGATAAAGTTACAAAATTACATCTTTCAGCCTCGTTTTTCCTTCGAAATTCGCGTGTTTTGAGAAATAATCTATCGTTCTCTAGTTACAGCTGTCGAATTAGACAACTGTCCCATATTTCGTTTCATGCCGATTACTTTTACATCTCATTCGTGGATACTATGTTTAATCATCGAGTGGTGTACTACGTCTATCTTCAACGAGCTAACTCATGGAAAAAGCTATTCGCCGTCTTGTGTTCTTTTTAATCAGTCAGAAAGTTATGAACCAAGCCTGAGAGTCATTTGATTCAAGTATCTACGATCGTTTTTAACGATTTCAGTCGTCGCGCGACTCGCCTGTGTCTGTCTCGTTTTGCGCGCGAGAATAGCCTTAAAACTGTGTACATATATAACTTCATATGTATATATAACTTCCTGCAGAAAGAAGCAAGAGTACGCTGAATTCAAAGACGCTTCTGTACTCTTGAAGGATCTTGGAAAACGTTGGCAAAAACGAAAAGAAGAAAGAAAAAGAGAAATACACGAATTTCTTCCCGGTTTCCGTTCCAACGATGTTAACCAGACGATTAAGACATTAGTTAAGAGGGCTATTGTCTCTTCAGCAGGCTCTTGTAGATAGTGAATAGTCTTTCTGAGCACCGTATTTCTTAAAGTAAAAGTAGTCTTTCTTGTTTGCCTCTCGAACACGTACCCTTATATTCATAGCAAAGATAAAATAACGAAAGGAAGAGGACGTCAGAGAGGAGATGTTCGCCAAGAAAGCGCAAAATCTGTGTTTGGTTTTCCTTGCGTATACGTGAGTCCGAAAACGTCAGTTCGTCACCCTATTTCCCGTGCTACATTAATAGAATTTTTCTCTTTCTCCATGTACGTTCTCGATAATTCCGTGTTAATCTTGTTGCTCGACGAGTTGATATTAATCTAGTAGACTAGATGATGCTGATACGGATATCCTCGCGACTGGGGACTTATTTGGAATTGAGCTGCTCCGGAATAAGGATCGTACGCCTGTAAAACGAATTAAATATCAAGATGATTTCAAATAAGGTGAGTCAAATTCACATATTATTCGATATAAAGGTATCAGTGAAATCTTTTCATAAGGAAATTTGTTTATAATGAATTACTTTTAGGGTTTCTTCAACACATTACCTGTGAGCGTTTCCTGGAGACCATAAACCTCTTCTCGGGGGCATTATAGTAGGTCTGCTGAGGATAAACTAGACCATACTGAGGGTTGCTGTACTGAGGAGCTGTATCGTATTGTTGCCCGTACTGGTTTTCGTATTGCTCGTAATAGCTGGATGGATGGGTACGAACGATTCCAATGTCTGATGGTGACAAAGTATCTACACTGTAATGGCGAGGAGGGTACACCGAAGAATCCATCCAGGGGATAACTTTACAGAATTAAAATTCGTAAAATGAAGCGTACTATTTAACCAATGACCATTCGATTGTAATATATCTCGTTAAACTTACTGTTTCGCGGATCTTCTTCTCCAAGAAGGTTGTCATCGTTATCTACGTTCTCGTATTCCTCGTTCATATATTTATGCCAGTTCCTACGAAGACATTTCGAGCGAATTACGATTCTGAATATTTACATTGTTTGCATTATTGTTACCGTTTGTGACGTGAGTTTTCCAATAGGGAGAGAAGAGTTAAAACGTCCTCCGGGTCGATATCTAATTCCCTCTTGAATCGTGATTCTTGATAAATGGGAACGCTGAAAATGTAGTCAAATAGTTTCCATCAAAATTGCCATTTTTATCGATTAATTAACGTATTTCTGGGAGAAGCAACAAAAGAATTGCTAATCAGTCTTTAGGCTCTTACTGTATTTTATTACTTAAATGTTCTGTCAGTTATTTGAGTTTGGTATTTCTGGACGGTATCGATTTTGCATCAGATCAAGTTTAAAGCGGATTTATTACACGTGACCCGATTGTACGTATACGATTATTATTAGTCTGTGTAAGAATGCGAGACATTTTGAATGGAAAAGGACGGCGAGCAAAAGTATGATACTGAAGCACCAATACGAAGAGGAGATTGCACGCGTTTGCGCTGATAGGATGTTGTCCTAGGTCAGGTCCGCCGAGCATGCTTGGTACATGCTCTGTTCCAGATGATCGATATGACGGCACAGACTAATACCATCAGCTGATTGGTTGGTCATATGCCAAAATGTTCTGATTCGTCAGGTGGTTTCATTCAGCTTTTCCATTTACTTCGTTGATACATTCACATACGACAAGTGAAAAAGGGGAAAAGTATACAACGTGAATACACTTTCAGAATTTGCTTCGAGCACAGCGGAATATTAAATGAAAAGGAACAAGCATCAATGGAATTATAACACTGGGAATCCTTTATTCTGACTAATTTTTAAATTCTGGATCTGAATATTGTGGATGGTTCATGAAAGGTGAAGAAGGAAATTATTAGAAAAGAGAAAGGAAAATTCGAAGGCATGGAAGCTAATGATTAGCAAAGAACATAACTTTGGTTTCGAGTTCCACAACGTCGGAATGTAAATTTTTGTTCTTCGAGTTTCTCCATTACACAGGCGTGTTACCAGTTGAATATAAATTCCTGGTCATGTTCGAAATTATTATTCATCTCATGGAAACTTCGACGCTGACTAGGAATCTATTCTAGTCAGCTGATTGGCTGGCGATATGTCAAGTAATAGCCAAGCATGACCTACTTTTGCTGGCTGGTTCCATTCAGCTTTTCGTGGACCCACCCCTTGGAAAACTACCCTATTGCGTCACAAGTATCGAACGTCTCGATGACTGCACCAAACCCTCCTAGTATATATGTGTGCTCATCTCTGCGCGTGTTCACACATCCACCTACGCATTCGAAAACTCGTACACGCCCACGTGAACAAGAACAGTTTATTGGAAAAATTTTCCGCTGACACAACCACTTTGTTGGACTTGTACAATTTTTTTCGGACTTAACTTTTTGCTGATACCGTATCCTTTTACAGCCATTTGTTGATTATCTTGATTATAGACAGCGGATTTTAGTTAATTTAATTATTTTATGAGATTATTTTATTTGCTTTTCCAGTTTATTACTAGGGTCAATGAAGATCTAGTAATCATTATTAATAAGACGATTTTGCTAGCGTAAACCAATTGATCGCCAAAGATACAATACCTTACATGTCAAAATGTAAAACAAATCGATTTGATCGATTATTTTAGTCACGCTCAGTCTTTAGAAGCTCGACTTTTTAAATCTTGATGAGTTCCCCTTTTTTTACATGACGGAAATTAACTAGATCGTAAATGTATTTGCGTGTATATGCGCAAAGTGAACTGTGACATTTATTTACGGGTCAGGTAATGCACACTTGTAGCTACGTTTGCGCGTAAAAATAAAAGTTTGACGTAAGGAACTTCAAAGTAATTGATCATGCTGTGACGTATCGCAGAACGTTATCGTCTACGTCATTTACTTAATGATGACGATTCTACGTAAACGTGGAACACTATAAATACCATCGATAGCCTTCGTTACAGAACTATCGACTTTCGATTTAAATCGGAACATCTAGAGGTCCCCTATGCCATCGAATGTGTATATACTCTGTTGTTAAATAAAAAAAAAAAAAAAAAAAAAAGAAAAATGTCATATTGCATTTTTTAATGATGCTTTATTTTTTTGTATAGTTCTTCATCAGAGTCTAGAAGTTATCGTGGCGAAAGTAACAAGGGGAACCGTCTCGATATTTTTCGTTGATCAACTTCGATAACGACAGCTTCTCCAAGTCGTATTGAACCGACTTGGTCGTCAAGTCGACCGCCGTTTCTACTGGGGGCAACGCCCTCGCCAGCCTCTCATCCCCATTCAGAAGAAACGTCGAAGAAAAAGAGGGATGTCCCGAGCAAGAAGGCGGGAAGGGCGAGCTTTCACAGGGGTGGGAATTACAGACGGGTTACCGAGTCGATTCACCCTGCTCAAGGCAGTCTGTTCCACAGGTGAATTCGCTCAAACACACCCTAAACTCGACTCCATGGAACGCATTCATCAGACAATAAAAGCAACATGATGCGAACTGTCTCATAAACAGCATTTATAACTTGAGAAAATTCTTGCCTACGTAAAGTGGTAAATAACGAATCAAATTGAATTTGCCTGATGAATGCTTCCAAATTTTTCTACATTTTTGAAATAATTTTAAGCATGCAATGTGACAAAATTTGACTCACCTTCTCTTCACTTGTGCCTGCACAGATTGCTGAGTAGATGTTGGGGACTGGAACAAAGTGGTTGATGGTTTCATGGTGGTTGATCCAGTAACCACTGATTTCTCAGACCTCTTCCGACGATCTTCGTTGAAATAGTATTGAGGATATGATGGAACATCCCATACTTGAGGCATCTCGTACCCCAATTTATTCACCAAGACCTTTCCATAACTGGAACAAAAACAGGAACAGAAACGGATGAGACCACTTAGTACTTGCTTATGATGTTAAATTTATAAAGGTAGCATATTTTGAAGGATACTTACTCGTAATTCTTATCATATGGAGAAAAGGAATCACGATCGTAGAGAGCATTGTTAGGTGCATTAGAATGAGAAGGCTTCTCTTCTTCGGCAAGGGCTGCTTTTAGTCCGCCTAGTCCTGATGAAGCTAGAGTTCCTTAAAGATTAAGAAAATCATTATAAATCAGAATATTAAAAATTACATTATTTGTATAATATTTAAATATTTACTCTTTTCTGCAGTTGAGGAGTAAGATGCGCTCGGACTGTTCTCTCCTTGACGATTCTGTTGGTTCCCAAACATTATCATTTCCTGTGCTCGTTTAGCTAAAAACAAAACATGTTCCTATGTAAGTTATTGATCTTATTTTATTTTAGAAGAAGACAATATGCCTTACGTTTTGGTCTCATCGTTTGTTCAGTCTTTTTTGTGTCTTCTGCCAGATTCGTTGGCAAAGATTGGGATATTACCAGGAGGGAGCATAAAGTTAATAAGCATATCCAGGCATACGTCATCTGAAAAAATTAATTCTTACATTGCCCATTTAAATCCCGATTAAGAAATCTGTGGGATTTATTAGGAGGATAAGGGTAAAGATCTTTTTATTAATTATGCATAAAAGTTTCCTGACTCTTTGATTAAATGTGAAATTGATGAAAAGTGCTGTTCGAAGGATATGGTTGCTATAATGTGTTCCCTCTGTGTACAGGTCGAAGTTTACACTCTCCTCGCAAGTGCGGGTAAACGAAGATAGCAGGTCACTACGAAAGAAGCTTAAATGTCACATAATGCGAAATGTCAGGAATCTATTTCCATAGCATGTAAAAAATTAACGGGCATATATGACGGAAGTTCCATAAGAGATTGTAAATGTTTTTACCACTTTGTGAAAATCTAAACTCAAACGGATGATAAATCCTTCTCTTGAAGGACTGTTAGCAAGTCTGGACTAACTAAGGAATTTAGTTTGCACTTTATAATACATAAATAGTAGGATTATTTTGCGTGAAGTGAAATTAATTGTAGCTTGTCATTTATTAATACGTTACACGAAAGGGAAACATTAGACGTTGGAAATTCTGTGGTCTTGACAATGTTAATAATTTAATTCCAACTACACTGCAACATACACGCAATTGGCTTACCTCGATGCAAGGGGGTTGCAGCTAATTAGACATGCAATTAACTAAATCTCAACAGAGGCGGTGGTGGCTTCGAGCTCATAATCGACTGTTCGTAATGGACATTCCATTAGTTCGAAATGTCAGAGTTCAAAGAGATGTTTTAATTACATACCCATGATTAATATTATTTCATATTAATACGAAAATAACGTGAAAGATTTAATTCGCTCGTTTACATTATTTTTCTATTTAATTCCTTTTCATTTTGAAACATTCATTTAAAAAATATTACATATATGTATAGCTAGTAATAACTATTCGCAGAGCTTAGTACATATAAATATATATAAAAGTTCATGATTCGACACTAGTGATAGCATTAAGCAATTAAAGCTGGCCAGGACATAAAGCTGAACCGGATATAGTAGACCCAGAAATCACACACTTGTTGCGTCTAGAAATACTATAGTCATTTATCGCGTTTGTATACGCGTCTATGCAACTCGCAATTAAAAATACATTTCATTCACTGTGCTTTCATTGACAAATCCAGACGCACATAAGGCATCAATATTACCTGCCCCGATAAAATATGTTTTAACAACCGTTTCAAGATTTACCATTGAAATATGAAAGCAATACAAATTCGGAACGCATTGCTATTTGAGTATATTTTCAAATAACTACAAAACATGTACGCGTGTCGAACAAATGTTCACTGAAACTTAAAGCCAGACTAATTTTCTATCTTTAGAACCGAAAGCTCAAGGAAATACAGTTATATCGCTGATAAGAAATCTTCGTGACCAGTCTCTATTCTTACTTTCTATTTATACCAGAGCAATTTTAGCGAGTCTTTATCTCACGAAAGTTGGTCAATTAAATCGATCGAAGGATAACCATTATAATTAGAATTTTGTTCAAGCAGGATTATTCGTACTTGAAAAGGAAAATTATAATTATTAAAAGAGATATTCTTTCACCTTTCTTAATGTGGACTATTCTCTTCGTTCTAGGTTTCGGATCAGTCTTCGACTCCTTTTTATAAGAGTGATTCTTCAAAGGATGCAGCAGAGAACTAGCGAGTTCGGCTGGCCGAAGTAGAATGAACGTTGGAGCTGAACAGGACGACTAGAAAACTGGCAGAGGGTACGGTCGATCAACCACCCCCACCTTGGTGAACGAGCACCCCTACCCTGAAAGCAACCCCTACCGCGTCTCTACGAAGTGATATGACGTACACACACTCACGGCTATATGGATGTTCTACACAGAACATGTACACACACCCCTATTGTGCTACGAAATACATCTGCCCACGCGATGACCTGAGCAGATCCTCAGGCTATCTTTGAAATCTTCTCTTATGTCGCATCTTGGCCCCTTATTGTTTTAAGTATTCATCTTTTAAAGAGTAGGAACTCCTGAGTAATTATTTCTTCTTCTGGTCTTTCTATTGTTCTATTTATTGAATTTGGCGCCACATAATTTCATCCAAATTTGGAGAAAGCTTATCCAAAAAATTGTTTTACGATACCGAAGTATTTTCCATGTTTCCTTCTAAGAAGCTGCGAAAATTCTAAAGAACAGAAATTAGTCCTTCAAGGTCCTTTCATAAGCTTTGGATACCTTATTTCTTTTGTCGTAATCAATCTAACGGTGAATAGTGAATTCTAAGAAACACCGACTAATTAAATTGTATTTTTCTCATATTTCAATCAAGTTATGTCCTTCACGGAATTTCACTTGATTTTTATAATAGTTTATAAGAAAGACCATATATATTTTATTCTCGATTAATTTCTCAATATTCTCCATTAATTTTACTTAATTATTTATCAATAATTTATGATTAATTTTGAATTCCAATCATTTTGTAATATTTAATTAATATTGTGAAAATAGAGAAAAAATCATAATCTTCCAGAATTAAAACAGGTACTTTTAAAGTCACTGACGTGGTTGCAATTCATTAAGCCGTTTTGAAGAAGTAATACTTTCTCAATGGTACTGTGATCGTTTCCTCCCGGTTCTCATTGCAAATCGTATTTTCTTCCAGGTCTAGAACACTAACGGCAAGGTGGTGGGTTGTACAGAAGGAATTGTAGCACCGTTTTCCGTATTCAGTCCCCGGCCACTTTTCTCCAACCCCCGCAACAGGCCAAACGCCTACGCCGTCGTATAACGCCCACGAGTATCCAACGCCCACGCATATTTTCCACCGTGTATGAGAAAAAGAAGGAGGATGGAGGAACAGGACAGAGAGATCAAGCGAAGTGCGAAATTTCCTTTTCTTCTGCTTGTTGCTATGCTGACGTCTGTATGTTCTTACAGCAAAATATTTATCGTCGACGAAGATCTTCGTGACGATCACGACATAAATATGGAAATCATTCCATATTTTATTTATCCTATCAAGGAGTAACCCCTTCGTAAATAATCACGGATTTGACATGTTCGACGAGAGGGAAGAAATTGCTTCTTAAGCTGGAAGAAATTGGGAAGTCATTTAAATTAAATTATTTTCGTTAAATTTTCTGTATTCTTTTTAATTCGTTTGTTTTTTGTTATTTAAGGAAACAGAGTAAAATGAAACAGAGGTAAAAAATGGTAACAGCAACAAAAATTAGATATACCTCTCCGACGGGAGCCGACGAATTCTAGGAAACAGCTGCTCTTTAGTGAAGTGTTTACTTGAGATACGACATATCCCAACGCACTACGTGCCTCAGTAATTGACCTATTTCCAAAGAATTGGTTGCACGCTTGCGCGAATTGAAGTAGTTGCACAAAAACAAGCGTATCTCGCTGCATCATATTTCTTGCAAATTAAATGTGGGTATTTCTAATAGAAACATTTATTTCACAACAATGACAAGGAGATATATTAATGTTCAATTTTCTTTCAGTCGTAATTGAAGAAACTAAAGATAGCTATTCTTATCACATACAAATGTTTACTTAACGTTTAATAAGCACTAAGAAATATTCCTGTATTGTATTTCGTTCGAAGACGAGTTTCGCAAAATACGGAAAGTAAAAAAGGAGAAAGCATGCGATAATCGTCAACTTTTATTGAAGTATCGAGAAAAATTAACGCCACACCCTCGAGTACTGCAGTGCAAAATACTCTTTTCTCGAACTTGTTTCGAACATTTTCTTGAGAATAGAAAAGTTAATTTTCCTAAATTCATTCGGAACTTGACTATCAAATGGAGAATACATCTCAACGAAAAAGAACCGAAACGTCATTGTAATTACAGGGTAAGTTCTGTGAAATAATATAATTCAACGTACTCGACCCGAAGGTTGGTTTCCATTGACGTCAGCCGTTGATCCTGGAAACGACGAATCCCCGTGCTTCGAAAACTTAGTGGGGGGCATACGCGGCGTGAGGAAATGATTCGTGGTAGGGGAGCATGGATGTATCCAGGGACGTTGTACAAACGCAAGTCCAGGATCAAAATAATAATCTGCAGATAATAATCATACAGCTAAATTGCTACTATATCTACTTTATCGGTGATAACAGACTGCGCATTAAATCACTGAATATTAATTCTTCGTATGAGCAATTATTGATATTTTTATCGCGATTTTATTAAACTCTAGGCTATCATTATGTACATTCTTGACTACTCGGTAATGCGGAAATCTCTGCTTGTTCTGTCGAAGGTAGGATAATCTGATTCATTCTAAAATAGAGATTAAAAGTTCAGAATATTAAAATTCATTTTTACTGAATTTTGAGAAATTAGTAAAATAATAAATTTTAGGTACCTAATAAATGTGTTGTATGTAATATATGACTCACAAGCAAAGTAATATAAACTTATGTTAGAACAGGTATTTCGGATTGTTGATACTACCCTGTAGGTAGAAACTGTAACTAGCAGTAAGAAGGGGGTATCCCGAAGGAATAGATCGATGTTTCACACTGTGTAGTAAGAGACGCCTGTTGCTGTAAAACAGGAGTAGCTTCATTCATGAAAATGGCAAAACGTAAATGCATTGTATCATTTAAAATTATTATGATAATTAAAAAATATTATAATTGCTAATTAATTTTAAGAATCAATATGATATTTTTATATTTTTACTGGTGTATCATTGTACTTTAATTGATAACAGTTATACAGTAATTATTTATTAATTTATTAGAAATAATAATTATAATATATAAAATATCATTTTCGAATTTATAATATGGACATTGTAGGTTTTTCAATTATTTACACAAAAAATTATTAATTTTTGCACTTTATTTTATTATATTTATAACTACTTTAGACAATATTGTATGTGTAATATTTATTCTAAATTTTTGGTGCATTTTTATACTTATAGACCACTTTCATACTTTTATTCTTATAATAAAATTTAAATCTAGTTCCTATCAATATTTCTATTAAATAAAATTATACAATTTATAATTTAAATAATTCGCTATTGAAAGACCTTCAAACAAAAGATGCAAATAATGAAAATATTTAATCTTAACTTTGTTTAAATAGCAATATTCAAAAATAAGGAAGATGGCAGTGGCAATGTCATTTCCTGTCTAGTAGATTGAATTTGTAAATACACGATGGTGTTGTCAGTGTTATAAATATAGAAATTTATATCGAATAACAAATAATTCGGAGAGTTATATGACCTTTGTTGATAATTAAGCTATCATAATCAATGCAATAATAAAACGAATAAATAAACAGTAAAAAAATGGCGAGACACTCGTACAGTATTGTCGAATATTATGGTGAACAAGACAAATACAAATGTGGTTATTGTAAAAGCCCAAACACAAATTTTAGTCATGGCAAGTATTGGAGCGTTATTAACTTTAATTTACGCTATTTTACTAGTGGACATAAAATTTCATACTTTTATCAATAGGTTATGTATAATAGTAGCCGTGACAGTTTAATATATGTATAATTTTTATTCTTGTCATGCTAAGTTTCATATATTGAGATACCAGTGTCAAACGGTATTCGAAATTTCTGAACTATGATACATTTTAGGTATGAGCACACATATATTGAATGTCCAAGATTATCAAGCTTTAATGGATAGAGGATGGAGAAGATGTGGTTCTTATTGTTACAAATCTATTATGGATCAAACATGTTGTCCAATGTATACAATAAAGTAAGATTAATAATTTTTAAGTATTTTAAAAATTTGATCATATGAAAAAATTATTTTAAACTGTTTATATATCTAAATATTTATGATAGATGCGAAGCATTAAATTTCAAAATTTCTAAATCACAAAAAAAGATGATGAAAAGAATGACAAAATTTTTAAAAAATGAATTGCGTAAAAATGATACTATGGAAGCATATGACGATGATTATCGTGATACAGAAGGTATAGATATTAAAAGTTTTAATTAAAAATTGAATATTTCTATAAAATTTATGAATCATTTTATTATAGAAATTCAAAAAATTCCTAATCACAGCAAACATTCTTCAAAAGCAAAAAAAAGTATGTTTGATATGAATGTAAAATTTATTGATGATGAAATTAATGCAAGGTTACATCCTAATGCATTAGATAAAGGGGAAAAAAAGTGTAATTTAGAAATAAAACAAAACAATTCTGAAAATGTACCCATTGTATCATGTCATGATGATGATTCCCATGGTACACCACAGAGCTTACAATCAGTAGAAATGGATACTACTCGAACACCTTGTATGAAAGCAAAATTCTTACGTAAACAACGAAAGCAAAATAAATTAAAGGAACAAGGAAAATCTCAAGAAGAAATAGAAGCTATTTTCAAGGAAAATAAGCAGGAGAATCAAGCTAAAGGTTTAGAGGAAATATTTGATAAAGCCTGTAATGCAACCAATAGATTGGAGGTAGGTTGCACACTCACTTATTAAATGTTGCGTGCATTTTTATAAAAGTTGGTCCTCTTTTCTCCAATTTATTTAAAAAGTATGTATAAATATTAAAAAAATTATTAAATGTCATTTTATTATTTTGTAACTATTTAGTTCAATTACTATATTTTGATTATAGTTTCATTTAGTTATTATTTTCATAAAGTTATGTAAAACTTATGACTTTTACTAGCTGAAACTAGTTAGAACTTCACCAATGAGCTCTGGATATATAAATACCTCAAAACAGTCTTACGAAGTGTATAAAAAATATCAAACAACAATAAATGGAGTTCTAGCAGAAAAGGTTACAGAGGAACGATATACAAGATTTCTTGTGAAATCACCTTTACAGGTAATTTTACAATTTCTATGAATTTCTGCTGATCACCATTTTAAAGTTTCATTTGTTAAATAGAGATTGTTACAATCTCTTCATTGCATCTATATAATATCATACATAATTATCATTATATTAAATGGTTATTGGATGTTAATCATTATTGGATACTAATTAAATAATATATGTATAAAACACCATATTAAAAATAAATAATTCTAATAATACTTAATTGGAGCATAGTGGACCTTCTTAGTGTGCATATGTATGTTACACATCGTGTTTGTTATACATAATTTATTTATTTAAATTCATCAGATGAAATTGGTGAGAACAATGTCGGATGAGTTTATTAAAACACTTAAAGTAAGTGCGAATCTTTTTAAAAAATATCAAATGACTATTCATGGTGAATCAGAAGAGGAGTTAGATGATGAATCATTCTCAAACTTTCTTGTAAAAAGCTCTTTACAGGTATATTTTAAATTCATGTGTGATCAATTTGATTTCATAAAATATATTTTTTGTATGATATAAGAAATGATATTTTTATCACTTCTTGTTAATTAATATACTGTTAATTAATATATTAAAATATCTAGAAAAAATTATGTATGACATTGCTATAATTGTTTTTGATTTAATACTGCTTACTTTCCATTAAAAAATTTCATTACTTTCAATAAAGAATATATACAAATAAGGAGTTTATAATTTTGAAGCCATGGACACCAGATGACGGACCTCCAAGTGGATATGGCTCTTTTCATGAGCAATATTGGTTAGATAATGAATTAATTGCAGTTGGAGTGATAGACATTTTACCGTCTTGTATTTCGAGTGTTTATTTTTTTTACGATCCGGCTTATTCTCATCTCTCGCTTGGAACGTTTAGGTTGGTACAAACTTTTGATTTCATATCTATATTATCTTCAGTAAATCATTGCTCTTTTGTACTTCGTTTAGTTCTCTTCGAGAAATTTATTTAACAAGACAACTAAATAAAGTAGCAAAAGACCTAAAATATTACTATATGGGATTTTATATACATTCATGCCCTAAAATGCGATATAAAGCACGAATGAGGCCGTCAAAATTATTATGCCCTGAAACTTATTCGTGGTTTGATATAGAACCATGTTTATTAAAATTAGATAAGGAAAAATATAGCAGATTGAATGATGACATTGATGCTATTGATGAAGACGGTATAGTTGATATTCGTAAGGTAATAACCGAAATTTTTTTCTTATTTCAAATAAGGAATCTTCGTTTATTTTAACAAATTTTATTTCTTTTAAGGTATTAGTTTTACATCGGCAAATTGCAATGCCATATGAAATCTATAAAAGGAAGGCCCACCAAACTATCACGCAAGAAGAAGAAGATGAGATTAAAGAATATGCCAGTTTGGTTGGAATGAAATGTGCACAAAGATTGTTGCTTTATCGCAGTTGGAGCTTATCAAATTCGCAAAAAAATTAATTCGCGTATCTTCTTTTACATAGAGAACAACCATGTATTTTACTAAAAGACAGATCACCGAAAACAATTATTATGAATTAACATGGACAATTAGTAAGTGAAATCAAAGAAATTAGTAACTTCAAATAAAGTATTTGTGATGATAAACGTGTAGTAACCTAATGAGTTCTTACAAAATAAAATTAAAGTTTCTTCTTCGTGCTGCGTTTATTTTGCAATACTTTTTTAATTTCTTTTAAATTTTATATCAAACAAAAAACTAATTCTATAACATTCTGCGATATGATAACTGAATGTACCCAATCGCGTAACGTTCCATTTAGTCAATGTACAACATACGCTTTATAACTTTCATGATTCTTATACCAGATAATGAATTGATTGGAAAGAGATAGTTAAATTTTGCATGCAGAATATGAATTTCATACATAAATACTTTATTTTTTATGCGTAAACAATTATTTTCAATACTGACACATGAAACTTTTTACTAATTACTTTTATAGGATAGCAAAAGTAAATAATAAGACGAGTTATTATTTTGGTTCAAAATATATTTAATTACCAACATTCAACTACACTTCTTATAACATTCTAAATTGTGTAAAATATTATGAATTTCATTTGGTATACAAAATTTATCGTATGAGATCCTGATAAAATCCTGCACTATAATTGTATCTATTACAACATGTTCGTGTTAAGAAATTTATAAAATATTTACAATATTCTTCGGCTCATAACAATTTAGTTTATCTATCTATGTGTCAAAGATATAAAACGCGATCGTAGTTCCTACTACAAAGAAAGTTTAACGTGTAACTTGTAATTTCTTAGTCTAATGCTTGTTCTGAATCACCTTCGCGCCACAAAAATGTCTAACGTTAATAAAAGTTTCAAAAACAATCACTTTCTTCCGCCTTCTGCATCATCTCCAGTCTTCGGAATTTCATTCCAACTTTGGATGTTTCCACTTCCTCCAAATAGAAAAATGATCATGCAAAATATGCATACCGCTGAACCAATCCAAAATAACGTTTGCCACCTGTCGATAGGATTCTAGAAGAAAAATAACGATATATTAACTGATTAAAAAATTCATTACAAAGTAAAATTATAATAAGTTCATCACTATTGATAAAAACATAACATACAAGCATTAGCATTAATTAATACGTAATAGATATTGTACGTGAATCTAAGATACCCACATATGTGCATATTTCTGTTAAGAATAACGTAAACAATGAGTGATAGATACGTATTACTGCGTTGCGGGTGGACCATCTGATAATGCGTCTTGTAGGTACTTCTCGTACTATAAATTTGATGATATAGAGACGAGTAGTACCCACGAGTCGTCATCACCACAAGATTCTGGATAGGTGTGAGTAGGATTAGCTTAGCGAAGTCTCCTGCTGTTTGATTTATGCGATTTCTCATGTCGTATGTCTTACCGATATTGACACATTAATTAGTACTTTATGCATCTGTGTGATGCGAAAATTATAGAATACATAGTTCAATTGTATAATATATTCGTTCTATTTTTTCGAATATATTTACACGGCAGGAAATAGACTTGTAAAAGCAGGATATGAAAATAGAGTATATTTTAGAATGACCAGTGAGATTCCAATTCGCCCAGAGTGAAATTTTGTGTATTGTTAAAGCATTTCATTTCGCAAGTACCGCACACACGATTTCCCAGTACTGCCCGTACTATGAGTTACGCAACAGAGTACAAGGCTGGACTGAGGTCTCGAATATGCCAAGAGCACCTTTACGTGCACAACTTGGTTGTAACAAGATATCCATCATTCTATTGCAATGATGGACACACGAACAAAAAATTATATAATTCATGCAAATAATTCGAGGTACGTTTTCCCACAAAAATGTTTTCTTCTGCAAGAATGCAATAAATGGACACAAAAGCAAAGCTAGCAGGAAATACAAAGCCACAGCAAATTACATAGAAAACTACTTACTCCATATTTTCCAGCTATTTCCTCGACCATAGGAGAAATAATTATGCCGGAAGTACAACCGATTGTATTCATAATACCGTACATAAAGCCAGCGAAATTTGGCGAGAGATCCTGATTGTTGGACAGATTTGAGATACTCGCTGCCCCATTAAAACCCAACGCCAGCACGAGAAAAATATTTGCAAGAATAAATCTGCATCCAACATAACCGACCAGAATAAGGAAGATACCAGGAACTAAATGAGCTGCAATAAATAAGAAAGCTACAGTTTTCACCGATAAAAATTTATATTAGAGTACTTACAGAACACTGTAGCGCCTTTTCGGATAACAGTAATAGGGAACATTTCTCTCTGCTGTAGCGTATCACCGGCCCAGCTGAAAAAGAACCCAAAGAGCATTCTACAAGCCCAAGGTAAACCAGCAGCGATGCCTCCTTTTGTCAATTCGAATCCTAAAGCTTTTGTAAGATAAAGCATCATCGAATTCTGATAGAAGAACAGAAGAAATAGATTCCCGAAGTGACAGCATACTAAGCTGATGAACGGTATTGAAGTAAATATCGCCTTGATTGGTGTGTCTTTCAACGAAGGTTTCTTGCTTGTTACGGTGCCTGCCTGAGATCTAGAAAGTACATAGAACGATTTGCATAGAAAGATTTTAATCATAATTCAATTCGCTTGCAATTAAGAAGCGAAGAAAACTTCTATCATTAGAATACGTTTTAGGCTGAATTACTTCACTTCTGCACTCACGATAGAATGTATTCCTTTTCTTCGTCTGTGATACCAGGATGCTCTTCAGGCGAATCATAAGTTAAAATAGCCCAGAAGAATATCCAAACGAACATTAGCAACGACGGAATGTACCATCCGCTTTCCCAAGTCATGCTTTCTGCGATTCCGGCAACCATAGGATAAGTTAAAATGGTACCGAACGTACCACCAAGCAAAGACCAAACGAAACGAGCCTTCTCGCTTGGCGGGGACCATCGTGCCACTAAATTGTGACACGCTGGAAAAGTTACTCCACCAGTTATGCCGATGACTATTCTAGAAATTAGAAGAATGCTCCAATGAATTTGCGCAAAGACCGGGCTCATCAGTGACACTGCAGCAGCTACTATAGATGTCCAGAGAATCGCGTTCTTAGCTCCCCATTTAATGGTCATTAGGCCTCCTATGAAATTGCCGGGAACATTTCCATAACTATATGCAGCGATCAATTGGCCACGTATGTCAGGCGTCCAGTCAAAAGGTAGACCATTGAATAGCTGCAGGCCTGGTGGTCGAGTTGACGTATCGTCCCTGCGTACCCGAATATTGTGCATCTTCGGATTCACTGCAGCTTCAGCAGCTTCAATCCTCTCTGACAAGATATAGTCTTCCAGGTAGGCACCGGGATCCAACCAGGAGATCGCACGACGAACTCGGGATACCTCAGATCTACAGATGCCTGCCGTACCATTACTTGCTACGCCTTTGATCATTGGCACAACGAGGATCGGCATTTGGAGACGGCACATATAACTGGTCCAACAGGCCGTGAACATCATCACGCAAATTAAAACTCGACTTGGAATCCATTCTGTAAAAAAATATGAAATCGGTGATGGTAAGTTCGTAGTCTTTTTGTTCTATCTGGCACTATGCTTATTATTTCTCTTATCTCCTTTTAAAAAATGATTTCTATTAACATGTTTATTATGGCTGTAATAACCGAACTGAATATCAAAATTTCAATTCAACTAATCATGCTGGCAAATTTTCACTCACTTAGATATTTCCAAAGTATAGAATCGTGACTAGTGAAAAACTGGGGAACACCAGACAGGCGTTCCTGGATAGATCTAAGGATGAACATCAGGCGTCGAAGAGTATAATTAAAAGAAACGTGTTAACGATCAACTGACTGACCAGTGAATAATAAGGAAGATTTGACAGATTACCATGCCAACCATGACTTCACAATATTTATCAACGACATCATCGTTTGTTTTCCTATTTTTAATTAAACCTATTTTCTTTGAACTTAACTCTTATTCATTTATGCACTCTATTTTAAATCTATCTATAAACTTTCAGCAGAAATCAATTTGAAACAGAAATTTTAATTTGAAATATTGAATTTTTAATATGAAATGCCATGAAACAAATATTTAAAAAATGAAACTACAATTAATTAAATTCCTGCACACGGAATAAATATAAAACTGTGCAATTATTAAGAATTGTCCTACAATACTTGTTACTTCTACTTACAGAAATATCACGCGTCTTTAAAAGAAAGTTCTCGACCGCTTTCCAAGCATTCTATGCTGTATTTACAAACTATCGTTACCATATGCTGTTATTTACAAAATTGATACTGCTCCGATTACAGATCCTATTCCTGTTTCATGTACTATTCCACTGAAAAGTTTTCCTTCAGACACTTGAACCGACTTGCCAATCGATTTCTATGCACAAACAGCATTTACTACGACATTAAAAAGAAGACAAAATAAAAGAATACACAATTTATTTTCAACCTCATGCTACTGAGCTCTAACGATATTGGACACTGAAAAGAGAACTTCAAATTCAAATAGGGACGATGCGAAATGATTACAACGGACAACGGACACTGCTTGAAGGAAAATTAACTAAGCAATCTAAGTGATCATCCTGTAACAAGGTTAAATAACGGGTATGATGCGAAAACTATGCCGACAAGAGTAGAGCTATACTAAACACCGACGTACGAATTTCGACATGTGTTGAAACTCAGCGGCAGTTTGGTACCAAGCGTTCGATAACAGCCTAACAATTTATACTATTTCATTAAGAATCTATGCAAGGCATAAAATGGAGAATGCTACTGATACGGTAGAAATATTCACCCGTTTCACAAGACTAAAGTTGAAAGGCAAATAAACAAATGGAACGGAAAGATATATATGTTTCACTCACGTGGGAAAATCTTCGTGTAATACTGCTTCAACATTCTGCGGTTTCAACGAAGAAATTGATGACACACACCAACTAACGCGATATTTGAGACGTTTTTCTTCAGGACATCTTTCAGGAGGTGCACAAAAACAAAGCGGACTTTGAAAGCTATAGACCCACAAAAATTACTTTCTGACACGGCACGTATCCTAAACTGCCGAAGAAGTAACTGATGACATCGGTTATCCAGCATGCCTATTTAAATGGTCGGCAGGTGAGAGTAAGTGGGGAACCCAGGTACATCCCTTCCATGGGATAACAGGACAGAACACCAAAATTTAGGGACTGGACTGCGCCACCCTTACAGGTTTACTGGTTACCATTTTGCTACGTTACACGGAGCATCAGAGAGATTATTAAATATTTTTAACTTAAAATTCGCCATTTTAAATTAGCCTCGTGCTGCTATGATTAAATTGCACTTATAACGGATAATTGGTAAATTAAGTGGAAATGAAGTTATAAAAATCAATCTGTTATGCTATTATGTTTGCGCTGTTGCAACTAAATTTCAATTACACGGTTGAGTTTTCGTTAAAATAACTCAATGAGATGTAGAAGAATGCATAAAATAAGCTTTGTTCGATAGAATCAGTAATATTATTTATTTACGAACGTTTTACAGAAATGATCAAACGTAAACGCAAATTTGTATTCTATTGTCGTGTGTTATTCTGTGCAACTGCTATTTGACATCGTAGAACGCGACTTCCTTAATTTTCAACAATATGCCAGCATTTTACGTAATACTGCGGTCTACAGATTATACCGTAAATTTGTGTATCGGCCATAGAATTCCTGACGTTTTCCTTGTACCACGTCGCATTTTGTACCAGGTTGACCAGATTCGTAAAAGTACCGAATGGTATATGTGTATGTCTCCGTATGTATTTAATCAGTCAGTGATTTTTATTTATACAATTTGTTTCCACGACGACGTCACGAACGAGTTTCGTCATACTTTAAAAAAAAAAAAAGAAAAAGAATGCTCTTATTTGAATTGTTGCGCGTATTTCCACCGAATTTGTGGCATATTAACGCAACTGCTGTTATGCAAAAGATCATTGTCTTCGATGAGCACTGATAAACATTCGCCCATCGGTGGCAGACTTGCCGATAGTACAGCTTGTTGGTGTAAACGTAAACCATGGTGTTAATTGAAGGAAGACGATACAAATCAGCAGTATCTACTGGAAAAGCGGAGAGAATTGTATTAATTCCAACAATAACGAATGCTTGCTAATTTAAATAAGTTAATTCAACATTTGAGGAGGAGAATTGGATAAAACCCACGTGAAACACGAAGATATCAATTTAGAGCTGATTTTTTATTCGACGAAAATATTTTACATTTAATTAGGATGCATTTTCGAATGAATCATGATAAACAACGTTAGCTTAGCTGTAAACAATTTGCTCTTCGGATAAAGAATATGTGATACTCGGTCATAATGGTAAAGTATTACATAACGCACGTGGAAGATCACTAAACGAATTCTGTATTTCAATCTTTCCTTTTTTTAAGTTTTAATCGATTACATGATGTGCATTGATTTGATCGCTTAAGGAGAAAAAGGTAATTTACACTGTAAATTAAATAAATGTTTAACGCCAAGAAAAGTTTCGTAAAATTGTATGGAATAAACGTAATTTGTCGGTTCAAATATTCCGTACATATTAAAATATACTTTCAAATGTTCTAGGCAACAGAGCAGGTCATTTTCCACAAATGACACGGGCAGCCCTGTCCTATAGAATATAATTATCTATTTTAACCGTTAGGTCGCCTTATCCACTAGGACTATTTCTATACCCTTCGACAATAAACATTGTACGTTTCTTAGTAAAATCTTCCTGCTCAAATAAATCAACGGTTCCACGTAGAGAAGCGTTCAAAGGTACTATTTGTAATGTTCTTTTAAGCCTCGTATAAGGTCAACGAGTAATTGAGTAATCAATTGGCAGGTAAAATATTCGTCGTTTTCAAAATGGTAATAAAAAAGGAGATTCTTGGTTTATATTTATATTAAGCACAATACCAAGCTAAATGTAATGTTCATTATTAAAGTTACTTCTCGTAATTGATGGGGATACAGCGCAATTTCGTCTATTGAATTGTTCCTGAATTTAGATATCGAAATATTTAATACAAGATTACATTTTCAGTCTTTGGTTAATTGTTTACTCGATGTATACCATATGTCGAAAATTGAAATCTCTATAATATGCAAACATCCACGGTTCATGGCATCGAGGACAAATTATAGCCTGTCGCGACTCTGACAATAAGGCATTTCGAAATAAAGAAGATAGCGAAAATTATTTTTTAAATTGGTAGAAAAGTAGTCTCGCGTATACCTCGCATCGTCATAATTCAGGTAAGTACCTTGTAAGTCATAATTCGGAGACCCGTTATCCTTTTCGCGCTAACAATAAGCTTTCAGGTACGCGTGTTTAATAAAAGGACAGCAGTTTGAAAATTGTCCTGTCCCCTAATCGGCAATATGCTTTTGATGTTGCAATAAAATCGTATTTCTACGAACGATGAGGTCATTTAATCTTCCTGGTTGCTATTCAAGATTGGTATTAAGGTACGTAGGTAAACGTTAATTAGTATTGGTCCTAATATTTATAGAAAACTTTTACAGAAAATATTTATAGGAAATCACTTGTATTTTCCTTCCTTGTTGGAAATATTTGCAGCTATGTAAATCAAGTACAATAACCTTGGAAATCATTTGCAGCTAAAGGAAAAAGTTAAATACTTTCCTTATTAAACAAGTTCTCTATGGTAAGTTTCATGTTTAATTATGCAGGCTGTGGCACGTAACTGTCATTACCATTTTTTAGGCACTTTCGATAGTTTGATAGAAAAATCTTTCTGATGAAAGTTAATCGGTATTTCGTCTACTACATATTGAAATATAAAAAATTCCGAACCCTATTTTCTTTCGATAAGACACTTTTGTTAATCGAACTTAAATTCTGAAGTCAATGTTATCTGAAGGTCATAGTAGGTCGTTCAACTTGTATTTTCATTAGCAATAACCATACGAAGTAAAAAAATACAGGGTGCCATTAAAAGAAATTATAGCGACGTTGATTTTTTATCGAAAATAATAAATTTTGGAATTTTCTGTATTTTAATATGTAGCAAACTAAATATCGATTAACTTTTGTTATATAAAATATTTTTTTGTCAGGCTGTCAAAAGTACCTGAGAAAAATAATGGCAACAGTTATGTACCACACTATATATTGCAAACATTCATTGGAATTTTCAAATATTTCTTGACGAGGAATTAAAGGTTGATATCGATATAATTGTTAAAAATTGTTAAAGTAGATTAATTGCTAATACAAAATTTCGTACGACAGGTTTGTGTTGCAGAAATTTAAAAAAAATGCTTTATCATAAATCTATAGAAATTACAAAAAACATTATATTTTATTTTCTGGTGATTCCAAAGTTCATTGCCGTGTTTGTAATAGGTACGAAAGCACATCCGGGGATTGGACAGTTGCTCGAATCTGCAGTGACAGGGAACGTCTTGTACGTATCGCATTAATAGGATCGATTTAAAAATGAAAAACGGAAACCAAATAACTGCTGAAGCTTTGAAAGAACAGGTATCAGACTTTCTTATTTTCTTTCTTTCTCTAATGGCTCTCCCTTTTTTAAACTTTTAATTGATATCATAGTGTCATTTAAGGTTATGTAAATATTTATCAATATTATATATATGTATATATTTTTTTATGTGTCGATAATTTATTTTATAAGAGCATGTACAATATTTTGTATTAATATTATTAAAATTAGTATTATAATCTTACAATGTATTCAATGTTATAAATTATAAGTATTAAAGGCTTATAAAAATTCCTAAGAAAAAATGTGTGATATTGGTAGATGATAAAGCAATAATCGCTTTTGTCGTAACAAAATAAAACTGGTAGATAACGATGCCACATAAAAATGAAGAAAAAAAAGTTTAATATACTCATCTAATGAATCAATCTAATTGACTAATGGCATTTTAGCTAAAAAATTGAAGAGTATAGTAGTACTTACTATAATTCTTACTAGTTATAGAAGTACTATAGTAGTACCCACGTAGTACTTCAATTAAAAAAGTTTTGAAACAATATCGGAATTTTTTTTTTAGAGATAAAATATTTAAGATTAATTGGAAATTTCCCAGAAATTTCTGACTTACACTCTATAACACAACCTATGAACTTTTAAAATCTGTGTACAATGTATGTTGCAAGCAATGTTTATAAATCATTTATTTTTTAACTTATATTTATAAAATTGCTTATATTTGACATTGAAAATTATTAGAATTATTATTTTATAGATATTGATGAATACGTACGTTTCTTTATTCTCGGTATAAGCGGAACGTTTTCTGTTCCGTAACGAAGCATCCTGTTTTCGCTTTAATGAACTTTTTATTTAATCGTATTCGAATCACTTTCCTAATTGAATATTGTACAACAAAGAGGAAATAAAGTAAAATACACTAAAAATATTATAATTACTTAAAAGCTCGTAAACAGAACTTGACTTTTTTCGATAAAATGCACACAAGGCAGATTTACCCATCTTTTCAATGCGACGTAAAAGCTTTCTTGATAATGGGTACGTACGTAAGTACTGCACTTGTGCAGAAATTTTTTAAATGTTTAAGTTCGAACTCGCGTTAATATTCGAAGTCGCACAGCACGTTACGAGGAAAATTTTTTATCATCTCTGTTTATAATGTACGAATTACAAAAAATGAAGTCCAGTGTGTAATTAACTTATCCATTGTACCTATTTTTAGTGTCTTCCCGCGAGTTTATAATCTTTAGCCGTCTTCTTCATTTTGTATGAACCTGATAATACCTCTAGGAGCGTACACATATCATACATGTACTCTGCAAACCATGTATTATATTAATTATCCAATGAGATATATAAAACATGAAGAATATAATTACTTATATTGAAAAAAACTCTATTTCATTCATTTTCTTAATTAGGGTGTTGAGTATGTTTTCGGAATAATGGGACACCCTGTAATCGACTTAGCGTTATCCATGCAAATTACGGGTCTCCATTACCTTGGATTTAGGAATGAACAAGCTGCATGTTATGCTGCGCAAGCTTACGGATATCTAACAAGTAAGCGGGAAAAATTTGAATTGTCAAAAGTATGAAAGGAATTGTCATATGCGACATATGTCTTTTTCTCTACTTAATACGAATTGCGGTGACCTTACATTAATTAATTACTAAACAATTTTTATTAGGAAAGCCTGCAGTAGTTTTATGTGTATCTGGACCAGGATTACTTCACGTTATCGGTGGTATGGCGAATGCTCAAGTAAACTGTTGGTGAGCTGCATTTCAGTTTTCTTTTTTACTCTTTATAAAGTAAATAGTTTTTATTGTAACTGTTCGAAATTAAAAATATGTGTTTTGAAGATGCAACCCATATTTATTTTTCGCGAGGAAAAGCAATTTAAATTTTTATATTATTGTTTCGATTTACGAGTAATACATCTTTAATAGACATATCTTTCATCTCGTAACAGAATTGTAATCTTATATGAAATGATTATGGTCAATTACATAACTTGGTTCGTATTCATTGTACCATATTATTAAAGAAAACACATAGCGAGTAAGTTAGATAATGATTATGTAAACCGTGTCGTGTATCAACTATGTTAAAAGGTATAAAAGCATTAGGAAGCATTCATTGTATATTTAACATTAGTTATCACTAATAATTTATGTGATGTAAATTTTTGTGCAGGCCTCTCATTGTAATAGGTGGGTCGTGTTCTGAAGATCACGAAGGAATTGGAGGTTTTCAGGAATGGCCACAGGTAGAATCCAGTAAACCCTATTGTAAATATGCCGTCAGACCGCCATCCGCTATATTAATACCGCTTCATGTAGAAAAGGCTGTTCGGCTCGCTACTTACGGTCGTCCTGGTACGTTTATTGTACACAATTTACAGTTGACGTACGAAATAGCATACTGTCTTACATCAAAAATGTTTTCAGGTGTCGCATATTTGGATTTACCAGCCAATTTATTAAATCAATCAGTCGACGAAGAAAAAATATATAAAGTTGCGAAATGTTTACCACCACCACTGATATTTCCCGATCATCGATTAGTTAATCAAGCAGCTAGTTTGCTCATGCGAGCAAAAAGACCATTGTTGATTGTAGGAAAAGGTAATTAATAATAAGGTATTATTAAGAAATCCATCACGGAAGAAGAAATATATTTAAGTCATATAAAAAGAATTATGCATAATTGCAAACTTGTATTATAGGGGCTGCCTATGCAAGAGCAGAGAATGAAGTCCGAAGCCTTGTATACACAACTGGTATTCCTTTTCTTCCTATGCCAATGGGAAAAGGAGTTGTTCCAGACACAAATGAACGATGTGTTTCTAGTGCTAGAACATATGCATTGCAGCAGAGTGATGTCATCTTGTTATTAGGTGCCAGATTAAATTGGATGTTACACTTTGGCAAACCACCTCGTTTTCAACCTGATGTTAAAGTGATACAGGTACTGTAAATTTTTAAAACAGTTTTTATGGAAAAAAATTCAATATTTATATTGCAGGTTGACTTGTGCCCAGAAGAATTGCATAATTCTGTTCCCTCCACAATTGCAATTCAGTCTGATATATCTACTGCTGTGGAAAGCCTTGTTAATATTTTAAAGAAATATAATTGGTCTATTAATCAGAATGACCCTTGGTGGATGAATTTACTAGCCAAATCAAATAAAAATAAGACAATGATTCAGGTAAACTTAATATAGCAATATTAGTGTACAAAATAACATTTTACTCTTCCTTTATTTTGCAGAAACTATCAATGGATGTCTCAGTACCATTAAATTACTATGCTGTTTTTAAACATATTCAAGATATTATTCCACCTGGTTAATAACAGTTTTCATATAAAATATACTACACAAATTTAATTACATAATAATGAAAATAGGTAATAAAAATATTTTTATTTTGTTTATAGATAGTATTATTTGTTCAGAAGGAGCTAATACAATGGACATTGGGAAAACAATTTTATTAAATAATGAACCCCGTCATAGATTAGATGCCGCTACTTTTGGTACAATGGGCGTTGGCTTGGGTTTTGCCATAGCAGCTGCCCTTTATTATAAAAATAATTCCCCAACAAAGAAAGTCTTTTGTATAGAAGGAGATAGTGCATTTGGATTTTCCGGTATGGAAATTGAAACAATGTTTAGGTATGTAATTTAAACTACTAAATGTAAAGATAAGTTAATTTTCTTAATAATTTTCAATATTTTAGATATAAACTGCCCATTATTATTATCATTGTAAATAACAATGGCATTTATAGTGGTTTAGATAAAGAAACATTTAGACAAATACAAGCTTCAGGAGAACCAACACAAGTGTAAGTTGCTTAGTATTTATAAGGAAGTGCATTTATAAAAAAAATAGATAATATATATCAATGATTTTAGAACACCGCCGAATTCGTTAACATCCGAAGTACATTATGAAAAAATGATAGAAATGTTCGGTTGCAAAGGGTTCTTCTGCACTACTGTACAGGATATACAGCGTGCACTCAAAACATGCCTTCAAGTATATATAGTCTCTGTCTTCCATTTAATTCTTAAAATAATCACCAACTTTAACAGTAAATAATTTCTTTACAGATTAATGATTCCCCTAGTTTAATAAATATTGCAATTGATCCCCAGGCTGATCGCAAAAGACAACAGTTTAATTGGTTGACAGAATCTAAGCTGTAAATTTATTAGTTCTTTATGATATTACAATATATAATTAATAACAAATAGTTGATAAAAAGAAATCAAAAAAATGTAAATTTTGTTTCTATTTTTTGGTATAAAATAATTTGTAAATATAAATATATCAATATAAATTTAATAATAAAAATAAAAATTACATATTATTTAAGCATGTTAATATTTTTTCTTGGAAATCAGCAGAAGATACAGCATTTCTTAAATTGAATTGCAATGTATTTCCATTTTCATTGTCACTCAAAACATTCTTAACATCTATGTCCATATTCTTTGCTACTGTAGTTAATATTTCATTTGCATCAACTACGGCAGTGTGAAGTTGTCCATTCTTTTTTACAAGGTCATTTATTACGTTTAATTCATTTTTTCTGAGAAAAAAATCTATTAGTTTACTTTCGTTTATTTAATAAATTTTTGTGTCTTTAAGTATCATTATTTTGATTATGAAAATAATATGTATCAGAACAAACATATTTAATTTGCATAAATATTTAAATCTTACATTTTTGATGTCATCCCATTAATGGAAAACAGTGTCTTTTGAATTTCAATTTTAATATCAGGTTCATAACTCTCATTCGAATTCATTTCAATACAAAATTACATAAGAATTTAGAGTAACAGATATATGATATAAATTTCAATGAACAAAAGGACCAGTCATAAAATATAAGAAATGACACTGGATTACTATCATTTATAACATATATACAGTGAATGCTATGGTACAACCAATGATGCTTCTTCCAAATAAAATAAAATAACTTAAAATAATGTGAGTTCAAAATCCTGTACTATATTGTCATTGGTTATTTTTATGTTGTAACTATACATCAACAAATTTTAATAATCATTTTATTTACAGATAATATGTCGTTAGACATTTATATAAAGTATTATTATTATCAAATTTTTTGTAAAATATGTGATAATTAATTGCGGTTTTCATTATTGGTTGCTAGCAAAAATAACATTCTACCAATAGCAATACAGAAAAACCGTTGACTGTCGTTTCACCAATACATGCAGCTGACGTCACTTAAAACCGTGTCGCATGAAATAGAACCTTGAAACTGTAAATTATCGTAAAAAGTCATGACACCGAAAACATTGAGTATAGAACAGAACAACGAGACAAAACGTGTCGTGATGATAATGAACAGAGGTCCATAAACTGGAGATCGTGTACACTTGAGGTTAAACATTCTCGGTATCACGCTCCAAATGCTTGCGCAGTTTGATCGTAATTTTGTTCGAGTGCCTGGTTTTTCTATTAGCTGATGAATTCAGAATCGTTCTGTGGAACCGCGTAACTATACAATTGTCAAGAATTTTCTAGTCTTTTGCTGACAAAATATATTGATATGGCAGATTTCGCGTTAAACGGATTTAGCAGTGATCAAACTGAAAAGATTCTACAGTTTCAGGTGAATCATTGTATCACATGCTGTATTCAATTTCAAATTTCATTTTTGGTACCATGATAGAATAATAACATTATGATGATTCTAGGATTTGACAGGCATTGAAGACTTGTCGATATGTAGAGATGTTTTACAGAGGCATAATTGGAATTTGGAAGTCGCAGTTCAGGTAGACTTCCTTGCTATATATTCTTTGATTATTATTAGTAGCCGCAAAATTAAAGTTTTTACGAATATAATATTAGATAAAGAAATTGATATGTAACTGCAATTATTTCACAAAGATTTTAAAAAGTTGAATTATTGTATCCTATATAGGTCAGTTGTGTAATACAAGCATTAATAATACATCAGGGATTGATAAGGAATCCTTGAAGAATGATATATATTATTTTTATTATTTATGCAATATTTACTAATTATTCTCTGAATTAACAAAAGTAGATTTATGTATAACTGCAATGTAATTAGATTGTTCCTTTATTTAGGAACAACTTAATTTATATGAAGGAAGACCATCAATGTATGCACAGGATTCAAGATCACGACCACCACAAGTTGTTGATGATAGCAGTTCTAGAATATATTTTCATTATTCTGGAAGTTCTAATGGCAGGGGTAGTTATTTATGGTACATCTTCTCATTATGCTATGAAAGAATGATCAGCATTCTACAACTACTTCTTTCAATATTTAGAGGAAATGTTAGACCTGGTATGTTTTGTTTTCTTTGTAATTAATTTAAAAAACAGTTTTGCAAAGGAAACTAACTTATCAATTACATTTTAAGTATCATCTGATCCTGTGGAAGATGTAATTAGCTTTATTCGGTCTTATGAGGAAAGCTATGGTAGTAGTCATCCTGTTTTTTATCAAGGTTCTTACAGCCAAGCACTTTCTGATGCAAAACAAGAATTGAGGTTTTTATTGGTATATCTGCATAAAGATGAAGCTCAAAATATTGATCAGTGGTGCAGGTAGTTCTTAAATTACTCAGTTATTAAAAATTTTATGAAAAAAGTAAATAATCTCGATTAAATTTTGATACACAGGAACACATTAGGTAATCTAGAGGTTGTTCGATATATAAATACACACACTTTATTTTGGGCATGTAATATGCAGTCTGGTGAAGGATACAAAGTAGCAGAAGCTCTTAAATCTGGTTCTTATCCATTTTTGGCTATTCTTGTTTTAAAAGATAATAGAATGACAATAGTAGGCCGGTATGTAAAGTATTTTATATATATATTTCTTTTCTAATTTCCTTATTTATTTTTTACAGTTACAAATGTAATACTATCAAAAATTATATTTATATTTCAGGATGGAAGGTACGCCATCGCCTTCCGAATTAATATCTCGTTTGCAAACAATTATAGATCACAACGAAATTAATTTAATACAAGCTCGCCAAGAAAGGTAGAAAATAACATCAAAATATCCATATAAAAATTGTAGTTTCATTTGTGTTAAATATATTATGTTATATTATAGAGCAGAACGTAGTGCTGCACAATCTTTACGTCAACAACAAGATCAAGCGTATGAGGAATCGTTACGTGCAGACCAAGAAAAGGATCGCAGAAGAGAAGAGGAACGAAGAGCGCGCGAGGAACAAGAGGCTAGAGAAAAAGAACAACTCAATGCGCAAGAAATGGAAATTCAACGTATTCGTCGTGAGAAAGAACTTACTGTTTGTAAAGTGCCTCTTGAACCAGAGCCTACTAATCCTAATGCATGTCACCTCCAAATTAAACTTGGAGAAAGGACAATGAAAAGACTTTTTCTAATGTCTGACACGTTGGAAGTGCGTCATTTATTTCTTACCTTTTTGTTATTACCTAATTTTAATATTATGACAATTGATTTTATTTTTTAGGATGTATATCATTGGATATTTAGTCAACCAGATTCTCCAGTGAGTTTTGAAATAACTACCAGTTTTCCGAAGAGAATTCTATATCCGTGTAGAGAAATTTTAACATTATCAGATGCTGGATTAACACACAGAGAAGTTCTCCATGTTAATGACTTAGATGATTAACCTCTATTGATTTTTCAGTGCTGCATTCTTTGTGTTTAAGTATCATTCCACGGAAAAAATGATACTGTCGTAAGAAACATTTATCAAAAGATAATAATATATATA